GACCTATAATAAACCAACTGTAAGTGTGTTGGATCTGCTACTAGAAGTACAGAGAGATGATCTCTCTGTACAAGTGAGATTCACTAAGACAGGATCTCAGCAGTCAGAGTGGAAAATAGATGAATGAGATCTTTTAATGAAGAGTGGCAGGATCTACATTCCTAATGATCTGGCTCTAAGGCAGAAACTATTATAAGTCCACCATGATGATCTATTTGCAGGTCACTTTGGTATGGTGAAGATGTTTGCCTTGCTCCAGCAAAAATACAATTAGTAATTAATGAGATAAGATGTCCAGATGTACATATGTGAATGCTAAACCTGCTAATAAGGGAAGACTTCAACACACAAACCATATAGATTGCTTGCATTATTGCTGACATCTAGTGGTCTCTGGTGTTCAATATCCATGAACTTTATAACAGATCTTCCTCTGAGTAGAGAGGAGAGGAACCCATATAATGCAGTCCTGGTTGTTGTGGATTGATTTATGAAGCTTGCATGTTTTCTTGTGTATAGAAAGAAGATTGATGTGTCAGAGATGGCAAATCTTCTGTTCAGAAGAGTGTTTAAAGACTTTGGATTTCCAAATGATATTGTTTTGAACCAGAGATCTGTTTTCACAAGTGAATACTGGTCAGAGCTATATTTTCACATGAAAGTTAGATGAAAACTTAGCATGGCATTCCACTCACAAACAGACAGCCAAACAGAGGCACTGAACAAGATTTTGAAGGGATATCTTTGTGCCTATTGTAGCCATAGGCAAGATAACTGAGAGAAGTGGCTTGTGTATGCAGAATTTGCATACAACAGGTCAGAACACTTCATGACACACATGTTCCTGTTTAAAGTAATGTACAGCTTTGAACCTAGGGGACCAGATGAGATTCAGGAGTTGGTTGACAACAATAATGATGCACAGATGGCATCTGATGAAAGACTGAGAATGATCTCTGTGTTAAGAGATAGTCTGGTAGAATGTTTGACAAAAGCAAAAGAGAAGCAAGCATAGTTCTATAACTGAAGATGTCAAGATAAAGTATATGCATCTGGTAATGAAGTGATGTTGTTATCAAGAAATCTATAAACAATATGTTCTTGCAAGAAGTTAGACAACAAGTACTATAGATCTTTCTTAGTGATAGAGGCCATAGGAAATAACACATATTGACTGAAGCTCCCTTCAAGCTATCAGATTCATGATATTTTCTATGTCTCATTGTTGGAACTGTACTGCATGAGAACAGGTAAGACACCAATGTGTTCTCCTGCAGTACTAGTAGATAATCATCATGAGTGGGAAGTAGACAAAATCTTGAATGACAAAGCACACTACTGCAAGAGACATTACCTAGTGAAGTGGAAAGAATTCTCTATTGAGGAATTGATGTGAGAACCTGAGAAAAATCTCAAAAATGCATAAGAAACCCTTAAGAATTACCTAAAGAAAAAATAAAATTACAAGAAGACAAATAAATCTATATACAGAAAGAAAGATAAAAGTGACATGAAACAAATATAAAGATCACAACATACCTACAAAATCAAGAATTTAATGGTGAGAAGACATACCACAAGAGTGCCCAAGACATGACTGTAATGATGGTGAACCAGTTATAGACAAGTGAGGCTCAGAAGTCACAGGTATGTTTGGTATAATAATGAATGGGACTACAACAGAAGACACAGTCACAGAGAAAGGCATTACAGATAAAGAAGTATGAAGAGAATGAAGTATTTCTACAATACTTTGAAAACCAGAAGAAACAACATCAGTTAGGTAATTAATAGAAGATGTGAGGTTGACCTAAGCAGAAGTTAGTCTGAGAACAAGTAAGATAATACAGAAGATCTATAAGACTGGTTTCTGTACTGTCTTGAAGAGCTTTGGTTTCACTTGTCAAATAAGTTGTAAAATGATTAAGTAAGACTTGAATGTTTGCAACTTTATTTTCTATCTGAGAGAGAACAGTATGAACTGGACTTAATGAACAAGAGAATTCAGACAGACTGTCTTTGGTAGATTCTGTCTCAGATACAAGATTCATAATCTTGACTATATAATATGAGGCAGGACAACAATATTTTATGGAAGATTCTTTAACAGTAGAAGTAGTCTGGCAGTAGTGATGTTTAGTGGCTCCTGAGTCAAGCCCATGAAATTCACACATGAGTATACTCATGCACTTGACATTGTATGGACAATGTGGATTGGCTGTGTCAAAACTATGGTATTCTTCTTGAAGTCACAAGAGCTGATGAACTAGTTTGATGATGGATTCTGGAATCTACAGCCATGTCAGAATAACAAGAAGAACAGACAAAGACACACTTACATTATAACAGATATGAGTTTGATGTTCTAAACAATAAGAACAAGATTTCTTCTCAGTGTTCTATAGACAAGGCTCATCTTCATTCAGGTGATTTGTGAATATTAAGTAAACACAGACAGAGTACAGAAGAGTGTCTTTTTTATTATATGTAACAGAGTCTTTTAATAACAATATTGTGACAAGTTATAAAATAAACAAGAAACAACACCTGAGCTCAAACAAAGCAGAAGAAAAGAAGAAAGAAGAGAGCCAGAAACTCTCTATTTATATCTGTTATAATGCACCAAGGTTGCTAGTCCCACAACTTGTTGATAAACAATGTGACAATAGACAACAGATGACATAGCAACCAGACAAGCAAACAAACAAAGAAACAAGTATATGATGAAATGCTAGACTTTTATAATAAAATGATTGCTGTTCTATAATGAAGGATGTCTACTGCAACTGGTGGCAATATGCATGCAGGATATCTATATAGACAAGCAGTGAGTAATGCAGAAGCTTACACATCCAAGAACCTACAATACTCCACCAATGATAGAAGAGCTATAATGATGTACAAAAAACCACTTTGGTGGCCCTATGTCTCAGAGTCTGAGGCCTCTGGGGGGGGGGATAGTGTTATAAATGTAGACCTAGACCAACCAAGCATTGGATGATGTTGGATGTTCAGAGATATTCACATGACCCCAATGCTGAATGTATAAGGATCACATGATTTGCATGGATTGTGGGAACCCCAGTGTTCAGTCTTCAAGTGAGGGAACCTCTATATTTTATGCACAACTCTCTCCCATCAGTTGTGGGCATTGTACCTACTTAGCTCTTTCATACCCCTAATCCTGGGAAAACCTACATGACCTACAACTGGTTCACCTAACACAAGCACAGTTCTGGTCTCCAACAAAAGTTCTTAAGACACATAAGTGTCTGGATGAAATAGAGGCTGAAAAAGCTAATAAAATTGCTCAAATACAAGAGACAAAACTTCAACAAGAGCTTCAAAAGAAGCAGGCTGCTAGAGATATTAAAAAAAGACAGATTAAACAAAAGAATGTCTGTAAAAAGATTCAGAAGCAACAAGAGACTGAAAAAATCAAACATACTAGACAAAGAGAGACACAACATGTTGCTTATAAGAAGAAGAAGACTTTACAACTAGCAGAGAAGAAAAAACAGACAGTTGAATATACTAATAAACACTGACAGTCAGAGCTTCAAGCACCAGCTTCAAAGCACCATCAGAAGAACTCCTCTACTAAAGAGCCTCATTGCAGAGAGCCTATACAATCTTCCAAAAGAGGAAGTAAGAGCTCTACAAGCATCCCTAGCAAGACATTAGACTCTCTAGCTGAGAAATCTACTGTTGACATTCCTTTGAATTCTTTCCTATCTACCCCCCAAATCTCTTGCTCTGGCCATAATATTAGGCCGTCCACCCATTTATTTTCCTAACTATACTAATTTCTATGCTTTAAAGAATACATTTATTTAATATTTAATAGCTATTTAATAATAAAGATCTGGTTGTTGAGATATTTAATAAATTCATTGCGTGGAGCATTTGGCGAAATTTGGCTTGTTTAGTGGTGTGGCTCATTTAGTGGTGAACTACCTTAATCATCAGCAGTAAGAAAGATTGCGAGAATTCCACAAATGAGAATTATCAAAACAGAATTGTGGGCACGCAACAACATACAACAACAACACCACTGTCCAGATCAATAATATACAGGAATGTAATGAAGGTTCTGCCCAGAGATGCTTTGATGCAGTTTAGTGTTCAGACACAACTTCCGGGGACAAAAATTACATTAATACACCTTGCCAGAATAACCTTTTTCCCCCGTAGCCCATTTATCAAATTGTTAGCGGAAGGTGATTAGAAGGAAACCTTTGAAGGTTTTGTTCTTGGACCTTTTCCCATTAGGCACAAATCTTGAGGAAATAAATTGTGCAGCCTATGATCCTCTGAAACACTGAATCACATACGCTTTGACGGCTGGTAATCACAATGGTGATTATATATGGGCAGAAAGGTTTGTCTGTTCAATCTGAGCATGTATTGAGATGCTGGTTGCTCTCTAACTGGAGCAATAGCTGTTTGGTGACAGTTGAGGAAAACAAGTATATATATAGCCAATATATGGTTCGCCCCGTGTGTCCTCCAATGCACATTATATCAAGTCAGGAGGAAACAGCCATTCTAGGTCTTAGCGAGTGATTTCAGCGCGTTCTAGCACTATATTGGTGGACTAGTCGTTGTTTAGCTATCTTGTTTGTAAATAATGTCATACAAGCATCGTGGATTCGCCAATAATCCATGCCATCAATAACTATCAATGAAACACGCACTGGGCAACACTATGAATCAGTAGAGCTGCCTATTTCCTTGTTCTTTGTTATGAGCTAATGACTTGGATAGACAGAACAGCAAGTTTGTGCAGTTAAGATCACGCGCTAAACCCTTTTAGGACAAATCGTATCAATCTGGCGGACAAGGAACTGACGCGAGTGTTGGGCGATAACACCAAAGGGCGCAGGCAGGGTAGACTTGCCACTGGACAGCCAGAGGTCCAAAGGATGCGATGAGGCACTGGATTTGACGCAATGTATTTAATTTATATCCTCAGCTTATTATAATCGTTTCCGCCCGACATGTCGAACCTCGACCGGCTCCAGCAGAGCTTGGACGAACGCGACGCCGACAGCAATCTGTCTCCTCGCAGAAATCGATCTTCACACCTGAGAACCGACTCGTTTACCTCCCGAATACCTACATTATCACCTCGGAATGGCGAAAGGTCCCGGGTCACCTTTACCAAGACGCGAACCCTCACTGGCGCATTTGAGGCGACTGCAGGGCGCTCGAGCGCGTCGGATAATTCCAAACGAAGCCCGCGACAGTATACAATAGAAGGGAATGGGAAAAAGCCATCAGTGACTTCTCCTGCACCCCGAGCTTCTAGCCCCCGGAATGAATTCGTTGAGACATATCGACGGACGGACGACACGGATAATTTGCCAGAGCATCTGAATGAAAACGATCTTGACCTCCTTTCAAGGCGCGAACGAGATGAACAGATGTTTAATTGTTCTCCGAGTCCAGGTGTTCGACATCGTGATATAGGAATGGGGAATTATGCTGGAAATACATACGGATATGAACCTGATGATCTAGAACAGGTTTCGGACGAGGACCTACGAAGGAGGTCCCTTCAACGCAAGAAAGACGAGCAGCGCTTGAAGCGGATGCGAGGCGGAGAGCAACCAGCGTTTAGCAGGGCGAGAATGGGTTCGAAGGCAGCTCTATCAGTTGATAACTTAACCCGCCGAGACGAGGAGATTCAGAGGGAAGAAGAGGGAGTAGAGGATGGGATGGTCGACGAAGGCAGAAACCCACCATTGAACATTCCAAGAACATGGGGAACACGGAGTAGAGCTACGAATGATTGGTTAAATCGAACCAAGCAGGAAGTACAGGGTGACTACATGGCCGATGCAGAAGAGCTGGAATTGTATCATGATTCAGAGAATGATGTTTTCGATTTTACAGGCCAATCCTTGCAGATTTCCAATAGCCCCCCGGTTCGGAATGGCCCACAATATCAACAGGAAGTGCAGAAGCTGGAACCAATAGGTCAACCTGTTTTTGCAGCTCGCTCTCCTCCAAAGCAACAAGAAACAAAACCATCGCGCAGCGAAGTGGAAAATGGATCTCCTGCCGTAATACCTACGAGTATGGATTACGAAAAGCCCAAAGTACTCAGTAAGGAAGATTCCCAAGATCTCCTGCGAAGACTCGTGCGGAAGGAAAGCCCAAGCATCACCAATACCCCAGAAACCAAAGTTGTCTCTAATACACCACTTAACCCAAAGACGCCGGTCGTTATGGGGGCCTGGATCGATACTCCTTTAACAAAACGGCCTAATAACCCTCCAGAAGAAGCGTCGAAAGCCGCCTTGCCTCCACGAGAGGCACCTCCTAAATTAGAGCCAGAGCCGGTAGAAGAGAAGAAAGAACCTTCTCCGAAAGAAGTACGGCGAAAACGCACCTCTCTGATGAAACTAGAGAGGCCACATTTGCCAAAGAGTGCATTAGCCGCGGTGCTTGAAGAGGTAAAATCTGGAAAAGGCGAGTTTGCTCTTGGAGGCAATACTATTGAATCGCTCGAAGAACTTCTGGAATCTTCATCAACGAGTAGCATCGAATCAAAACCGTCAAAAAAGGTCGAAAACATTGAGCAGAATGCTCTAGAACAGATTAGAGCTGACCAAGAGAGCGAAGAGGCTTTGATCGACCGACTAAACTCTAAGCTCCAGTCACTTGTTCAGAATATCAATGAGGCCAAAGCGGGCCTTGTTAGTCTCGAGGATAAGGCTGTAAAAGAGGCTGCACTCCTAGCTACTCGCCAATCTCAGGATTTTCAAAAGACCAAGTCCCATATTCACAGAGACGGAACGTGTGAATCGTGTGGCTTTCACGATGATGGCTTGCGCTACGTTGCCATTCCAATCCCTCGTATCTGGCGCCGTGACCCGGACACAGGACGACAGCGACTTACCCGACTGGGATGGTCCCTTATAATCATTTTCATATGGCAGATTTTCGAAGCAATCATCGAAACATACCGCTACCACCCTTCCTTCCTCAACAAACCACGCTTTATCGCTTCTAGAGACCCTGAGTGGCCCACCGCGATTCCTCACACGATATGGCGTTGGCTCCATCTCTCAGCGATATGGGTACCAATTCGAGACACCATTTTTTCATGTGTGAGATATGTTGGTGTGTCACTAGGGATGTGGGATCGGTTATTCGATGATTGGATGTATGGGGATGAATGGTACGGGGAGAATTGGATACAGAGATACAACCATGACGTTTATCCGGAGTTCTTTAGGCGAGAGCCGCTTGCACAAGGGCATTTTCGGCCAAATGCTGCGTGGGAGCCTGGTGGTGGCGGTGATGGCATCACCGGCGGCGGCGTGGGCGTAGGAGCGGACCCGGACCTGAGCATGAACGCTGACACTATTTTATAAAAACCGGGGAGAGATATGCTTCTTATTCACCTTCTCGTCCTGGATGTTTTGATTCTTTTAAGTCTTGGGGTAAATTGGATACGCATCCATTGATATTCTGGTGCAAATCGTCTGGCAGAGCACATGTGATAGCCGCGCGATATATTTACAGTCCGCGGAGATTTATTAGCTACATTTTTGTAACTGCATATGTATTCGATAGCGCCGGTTGGAATACAATCAACAATGATTAAATTACATCATTTAAATGCTGTTACTTATATGGTATCTACGCAATCTTCTAAAGGGCCACCCGTACGCCCACTACGCCCGCAGGAATTCTATTTCAATTAACCCAAAGCCATAAACACCACCAAACATCCTGATCAAATGCCAAAGACCCCAAATCTCAAAGCTTTGCCCACTTATTCCACTTCCTGATTAACTCCTTTTCGCCATCCAACCTCCAGTTCTTCCCCTCAACCACCCTCCTTTGCACCTCTTCTTCACTTAGATCTCGTAAGCTGTCCAACTCCTTTCTCTCAACATGACGCACAGCATGATCCAGGAACAACGCCTTGCCTGTCTTCTGCACCTGACCCTGCACTGCATAGGTGCAAAACTCGGCCCAACTCTGAAAGCACAGCCTAGCGGCCTCTGTGGTGGGCAGAATTAATGCAAAACAATGTGGTTTAGCTTCAAAGCGTTCTAACACAACAGTACCACCTGCACGGTGAATGTTGCGCGCCAGATATATACCTTCGTCTTCGAGTGACTCCTCTCCAAGAGTTATGAAGATAGGCGGCATCCCTTTCCATGTGTCCTTGGGAGCGGCAACAGGTGAAACGAAGGGATGGGTAAACATGCTGGCATTCGCATACATCTCAACCCTCGGTGGATCTGTAGGCCAGGTTGCGTCTGGCGGGAATGGATACGGCTCATAGAGCGACCCAGGCGTTTGTGGAGGAGGAGTTATATAGTCATATTTGGAGTTACGGTATACTGATGGAAGGGATCGCGTGATATCGCAGTAGGGACTTGATAAGGCCAGGCCAGCGGGTAGTTCAACGGGGATGTCCTTGCCATGAAAGCGAATGGTATAAGTAGGAGATATTCGGCGAAGTGTTAAAAGGGTTTGTACAAGAGCAAGAGAGAGGCCACCGCCTGCCGAGTCTCCTGCTAGAACAATCTTGTTTGCGGGGACGGGGTCGTGGAAAGCACCCTCAGGAGGAGAGATGAGAGACAGATATGCGACCAAGGCATCTAATACCGCGGCTGGGAACGGGTTTTGAGGTGCCAATCTGTATCGAACGGAAAAGCATCGGCCACCGGTTAGTTTGGATAATTTCGTTGTCACTCCACGATGCGTGCATGGGTCCATCATGCTGGGCAAATTGCATTCATCGTTAGTAATTCCAACTCAGACAAAGCGTTTCCCGGAGAAGGAACATACTGATAAGCACCGCCATGGAAATAAAGAATGGTGAGATCCTCGTTAACATCTTCCATCAATCTTGCATATTTAGCCTCCTCAGAAATATTTGGCTGCGGAGTCCTCGCATGCGCTCCCTGCCTATATGCATTCCACTCTGCCTCAACATCACACACCTTCGGAACTTCGTACGTCTCCGAACCGTCCATATGATATTCTATTGCCTTCAACAATGCCTGGAGCACGTCATTCTCGGGGGGCTTTGGCATCGTCACTGCCGATACCCACATGTACCCTTTCTTTCCGGGGTCTCTCACGCTCCGCTTTTGCATCTGGAGAGACGAAGCAGAGAAGTTGAAGAAGGATCGAATAAATCCTACGGAGACTTCCAGCTTGAGATCTTGCTTTCCTCCGGTGGGAGAGAGGCGAAGAAGATTGAGGGCGACGGTCTTGAGGACGAGCGGAACTCGCTGGAAAACTTGTCGGACAAGAGCGAAGCTGAGTTTTCGGTCCATCTTGCTGTCTTAATTGCGCGGACTTGGGTAAAGACGGACGCTATTTCAAGGAGAGACCTGCTTTCAAGGCTCTTCGACGGACGGAAAAGAAAGATAAACCCCCCGTACTAGGGACTCCTGCTGCGGAGGACAGTGGCCCTCGCGCTCGTCGGCAAGGTGGGACTAAGCATGTGCTCCGGCAGGGATGCTTTGGACTTCTTTCGTACCTCACTTCTCCATATGCAACTAAGCCTGCGTGGGCCCTGTAGTCTCGGTAAGATGGCTGGTACTTTCGGTGTTGCGCTTTACCCCGAGAGGACAAGCTGGTTAGCGAATAGCCTTCCAGGTCCCGCAGCCACCATTGCGCTGGAAGGTTGTGCCTGAGCTTGATTTTGGCGAGTCAGTTGGCTGGGGGAGTTAACAGATTCACTCCTCGGTCCATAATTCGTAGCACAGAGGGCATTGCTGCAAACTGTGACCATGCCTTTTAGAAGGGCATAGCGAGATTATCGGGATATAGAACAAGCAAGTATGTACGTCGTATGAACAGTACAGTCTGGAAAACCTGCCTTGTTGAAGTGGCACAGACCGAATACACCTATCAGACATTTTTGTTCGGCTACGGAGGACTCCGTACATGGCTGGCGGTACTGGATCGTTCCGGTTATGTGAAATATCGTATTATTATCTCAACTTCGCCAGTGCCCAATATGCTGCAGTGAGAAAACCAATAATACCGTGGTTTGAAGATTTCTACGGACAAGAAAAGGCATTCCTCCAACATCACAAACGAAGAAAATGAGATAGCCGACACCCGTCCGGTTAAAAATTGTAAACTTGTATGTACACAATGGAAGTTCAGCAGCTGATTCAGGCCAAAGATATATACACGATATCAAACCGTATAGATTTGGAAATCATCGGGCCCCGGTCGACATCCATAGCAACCGTATTCTTCCTGGTAGAGAGTATTTATGTAAGAGCGGAGATCCCACCGTTCGCCTTGATTCGCCAACAATACCCAAAATCATAATATTGCTTCCACGGGAATTCTGTAAACCCGCATCGCCTCTATTCTGACTCATTTCTCATCGAGTCGATATCATTTATAACATCAGTAGTCCGATGTGCACCGAGAAGGCGTCGGTAGGTCTCTTCCTCTTCTTCCTTCAACCCGTAGCCCGATGGATCTCGCTTCATTAGGAAACTCTGAACCCTGGCATCCTGGGAGCTCATATGCTCCCTAGTGTCATGTCTTCGGCCGTCAAGCAATTGTCCACATTTTTCATTGACACTTTTCACTTTGTCCTGTACAAATGTCGAATATTTTCCAACGGTAATTGCCTGACCAATGCCACCGAACAGCGCTAGGAGGAATAAAAACGACGCGAACGTGCTATGAGACACCGTCTGGGCTTGCTTCGGACGTCCATCGCGTTTCTCGTAGAATTCCTGCCAATCTTCCCAGGTGGCATTTCTAAATATGTCTTCACCAGAATTCTTCCTGCCGTAGGTATAGCGGACCGTGGTGGATTGGCGGGGCTCCTTTTTAGCATGAACGCCGAAGAGCTCGCGGCGCTGATGCCATCCGTCGCCACACCTGTCATATGCTGCACGCTTCGATGGATCGGAAAGGAGTTCGTGAGCCGCCACTATGACCCTGTATCTGTGCATGCGGACTGATTCCGGAAGATCTTTGCACAATGGATGCCCATTGCATGGCCGGTCGGGGTGGTAGATTTTGGCAAGTTCGTAGAAAAGCCGTTTCGAATAGGGAGCGGTCCGTTCTAGTTTGAATAGCTCGTATGGCGAAAAGGTAGGGGAAGTTGGCCAGGTGAAGTCCCTCTCAGGACCAAGAGAGTTCGTGCTGTGAACATGGGCGAAGCGCCTAGGCAGTCGAAACGGATGCGGGCGTCGTCGGGATGAGGTGGCCGATTGCGGCGAAATCGAGGAGGGCGAGTTGAGCAGCTGGATGCTGCCACAACAGGAGCAGAGTAGAGACGGTTTTTTGAACATGACTACATGCTGGTGATTGGCATCAGTGGCTGAACCGTGACATGGACGCCCACTGGACAATGTGGCAGAACCAGCGACGATTCTGTGCGTGCATCCCGAGAGCGCCCCTCTTCCCGGCTTTGCAAGCGGATCGTCCAGCATGAATGGACCCCGATGACCCAACTCGCGCTTATATAATAATTCGCGTATGCTTAGTTAACTAACGTTACTTTCTCAGGGGCCGCTGTATCGGCCTCCACAAGCGGTAACGGCGTAATTTTCCATACGTGCTCAAGACATTCCACGTGAATCGTGGTTGAAGACCGCGAACATTCCTCCAGGGGACAGCGACTTGTCCCTTTTCCCTGCAAAAGATGCCCAGATATGACGATGAAGAACCTCGCGGCTATCGGCATAAATTGCCCTCTTACTCGCCTGACAACCAAGCCCGCATAGCCAGAGATCGAAGCAGAGGTCGGGATCGCAGGGCACACGACAGAGAGGACAAATCGTCAAATAGGGGCAAACATCGACGGGAACGATCGGTCTCCAGCTCGAGACCCTCAAGGCATTCTAGGGATCGAAAGGATCGCAGGTCTTACCGAGACCGTAGCCGTTCGAGAAGCCCTTATGAGGATTCTTCGCGGAGACACCGCAGACGTTCGAAAGAGCGTCGACGCGATGGGCGTGATTCAAGCAGATCACCACGACCTCGTCATCCGAGACGTCATGATTCCGCTTCACCTTCGCGAAATATATCTCCTTCCTCAAAACGATCCAGAAAACCCCTCCCATCTCAGAATGACGCCTTCTCCAAAACTCCTCGAGAGCTCTCAGAAGTAGCTACTCCGGCGCCAGACAAAGAGAAGCCGAACTTCGCGAACACAGGTCGTTTGGCCGCAGAAACAAATGCGGTTAGAGTCGGCGAAAGGAACATCGTTCTTAAATACCACGAACCGCCAGAGGCGAGGAAACCTCCTGCCAAAAATGCATGGAGACTCTACGTGTTCAAAGGAGAAGATTTGCTAGAAACAGTGGAATTAGGTGCACGGAGCTGCTGGCTCATCGGAAGAGAGAGGCTTGTTGCAGATCTACCTATTGATCATCCAAGTTGCTCCAAGCAGCACGCCGCGATTCAATTCCGATACGTTGAAAAGCGGAATGAATTTGGTGACAGAGACGGACGCGTCAGGCCATATTTGATCGATCTAGAAAGTGCCAATGGATCAAGTGTCAACGGCGACGCTGCGCCTCCAGGACGCTATATGGAACTTATGGACAAGGACGTTTTGAAATTCGGGTTGAGTACGAGGGAATATGTGCTTATGCTTCCGCCACCGGATTGAACGAATTATGAATTTTGGTTCATTTTCTCCAGTTATTCGATGTCAATTCTTTTGACATCTAAAGATGCAAAACTGCAAAGATACATATAATACATCGTGATCTCATTTCAATTGTCAGGCAAGGCCAAAAGCCGACACAAAGGGACATTCATACATCGATAAAAGAGGACTCATGCAGTAATGAAAATGCTGTGACTACGAAAGAAAATTCCATCGGCTCGGCTCTGTGTTCAAATTATGCCTTCCCTGTCAGTTCCTCCGCCTCCGCTTTCGCCTGCTCCTCCAGATCAATGGTTTTTTCTTTCGCCTGTTGAGCGGCCTCTTTTCCCTTTTCAGCAGCCTTCGTCCCCTCCTGCCCAGCTCGCTTTGCGCCATGGCTGAAAGTCTCTTTGATTTTGTGACTGGCCTCCTCTGTATTTCTAGTTAGTGTCCACCTTTTTTTGTCATTGGTCATCCACTGTTCACATACCGCCCTTTTCTATTCCCCTCACGGCAGCATTAGACACTATCCTATCTGCCTTCTTGAGGGTATCCTTGGTGACTTCGATGGGTCCTCTATCAGCTCTTTGGGTAGTGGTGGAAAAGAGAGCTGGTCTGGAAGCCGCAAAGATAGCTGATCTTGCTGGTGCAAGAGAGCATCTGGTAATTGGAGAGAAACGTGCAACAAAAGCCATGTTGTTGGAGATGGGCCTAATGTGATGTTAGACACCTGCCAAAGCAGTCTATTCTTCAGACGAATTGCAGCTCAACGCTTCGTATACATGCAGCAGCGGCAACAGGGGAACATACACTTAATTCTTCTGGTCAACTTGGGAACACACCGTGATGCAGATATATGCTGATGAGGATTTAAAACGGCTTGGACTGGGATCTTGAGGAAAGTCCTTCTTGAAGCAAGAGATGGGCCTTTATACTCCGTGTTCACTTTCGCCATTCCCAGCTCCGCAGCGAATCCTGGCAAGCTTCCAGAGCCGACGACGTCATGAACGTTGGCGTTCGCCAATCTCGCCCCCTTCACTAGGTTTGCTGACTAACAGGAGCTGGAGGAAAGTTTCGAAGCCTCAACGGCCTACATGCAGATATAGCTCTCGATAAGCTCCTTTTGAAATATCCAATATGCAATATGCTATTTTACTCAAGCCAGTATCATTTCCATTATGTAGCTCTCTATTCATATCCAAACAGGAGGTGGGGGCCAAAAAAAAGTAACGCCTTAAAACAATACAACAATATATTAAAGATCAGCACCAGTCCTAACTCCAAACCCATAACAAATGACCTCATAGCTTGCAGTATCCCCCAAAACAAAATGTAGTATATAAACCCCAAGGCCCATCAAGAACATCTCCATGCATCCCCCTCCACTCTTTCATGGTGTATTTTATCCTGCTATGACATAATTTTTTATGCTGTCCAAAAACCATGCCCTATACTTAAAGTATGCCAACCACAAACAGGTATTCCAAAATCCAGCCACTTCAATAAGGGCCTGAAAACAAGTAACATAAACATCGTGCAGTAATAATCAGATAGTTATTACCTTCATTGGAACTGAACACCAAACCCATTCAGGTCGTGCCGCGACACAGGAGAACTCCCACTTCTTTGCCTCTGCCCACCTTGGTGTGGTCCGTTGAATCCAGGCCCTCCCGACCCACTGAGTAGCATCTGAAGCTGCGCGTCGTCACTCCCGGTCGGAATAAGATTGTGACTCGGATATGGCGCTCTTGCGCGCCTACGAGCCGCTTCCACATTAACAGGGTTGGTCTCCCCGAACTGAATATGCTGTGTGTTTGGGACACGACTAAACTCCACAAGACTTCGACTCATACCATCACCGGAGTTCACCATCAAACCCGGCCCCGATGGGCCCCGTGACATACCAGGCGCTTCAAAGGATACAGGGGAATTTGTAGACGAATCAGCTCCCGATTCCCCAGGCCCGAACATGATGTGCTGCACTCGCCTGGTATCAACGAAAGGCATCTGCGCTCTATCGCGGCATCCAAACGGAGAAGGGTGAGGGGCCGGAGAGAAGTTAGGCGGGAACCTAGCAGGTTCTGTTCGTAGAGAATGCTCTGACTGCGCCGAGTGGTCGCGAGACATGGGCTGCGACGAATAGCCAGCCGGCAAATAGCCCATTGGGAAGTTTGGCCGATTCATATAGGGCGGGGACGCCAAGGGCGAAGGAGGAGCCGCCGCTCTTGAGAGATTCGACAACGCAGGATATTGTGGCCCGTATGTAATGGCTATGTCTCTCTGGTAGGGAAGAGGCATGGGGCTAGGACCAAGGACCCTTTGGGAGTCGTACGGATCTAGAGGCGTATAACCGTGGTTGTCGGGAGGATCCGTGGATCTTGACGAGTTTCGAGAATGCGCGGCGGAACCCGAGAATTGGTGGCGCACATTGGGATTAGGTGACTTTCTAAACGACACGGGCATGCCAGGGTCGCTATGGGTGGACTGAGATAATGCGTCAAAGGGTCGATCCATCTGGCCTGATGTAGGCATGCTCTCACGGCGAGTTTCTAACCGGCCTTGGGCGAGCTCCGGGCTATAAGACGTTGAAGGAGGCTGCTGGTTGCTCAGAGAGGGAGCAGACCGTCTTGCAAATGAGGTGTTTGGCTGATTAGCCAAAACATAAGCGTAAGTTTTACTGTTGTCTTTCTGACTAGGGGCCCGATTAGCAGGCTTAATTCCGCCTCCGCGGGTAGGAGGGGGGCTCGAATGATGCACTGCGGCTAGTGACGACTCGGCATCGGATCTTCCTTCTATCGATCTTATCGAGGGCTTAGGCAAGATAGCGCTCTCGGCTTTAGCATGAGCTTCTGTGACCGAGACGGTCGCTCGAGGTCTAAAGTCCCCAAGGTTTCTTTTACCTTTGACTCTTCGCAATCGACCAAGAGCTGATATCCAACCACGTTGGCGTTTTTCCACCTTTTGCCATCCCTCTTCGTCCCCTTCTTCTCCTTCGTCTATTGTAAGTTGCGGGATTTCAGTGTTCTGCGATGGAACGCGAGACAGCCCTGAGGTATAACTTCCGTCTTCGATCTCCCTTGGATTTTCCACCTCTTCGGCTATGATAGGTATGTGTAAACTTGGGTCCGTGGTTGATGGTACTATCTGATGAGGAAAATATATATCCACAGGCGACTCTGACTTGACTTCTTCGAACCCTTCTGGCCAAGCGGATGCCGATGTATGGCTATCAGGAGTGTCCGGGACGGAGGACATACTGCTTGTACGGTCAAAAATTGATTTCTGATTCCGGAACGACTCCTGCGAAGATCCTGGGGAGCGATTTTCAATCTCATCTTGCATATCACTCTCCAGTTTCTTCAACGTCGCATGCAAATTTCGCAGGCTCATGGCCACTCCCGTGAACTTTGTCGGAAAATGGCTTATTAGGCGCCTTGCATGGGTCAAATACTCCCTGTAGTCCCTTGTCAGGCCTGAACCCCTGGTAGCCCGCATCTGGGCTTTCGCGTTGTCGTAGGACAGGCAGAACAGCGCGGTTGCGAGGGCGAGCCACCAATAGTAATGGCTTTCGCCTTGGTCTGTTAGTTCGTCACGGCAAAACTTCTGTACGACGGTGTGGATCTTGACAGTCTCTATGGTGCTTCGTGATGCGGTGGAAAAATTATCGTTGTCGCTCGCATGGGAATCGTCAGCATCGGAAGATATCTGTGAGTATACCAAAGTACCGGAGTCGCCCAAATTATCGTTCAACGAATACAAGTATAATGTTCTCTCAATCAGCCCGTACCTCATGAGTGTGGTAAAAGTATTGTCGATATGCCGTTGGTTACTACCTCCTCGATCGCTGGTTCGGATCTCAACGCTGTATGCATTAAGAGCTTTCCTCCCAAGGTTCAACATCCCGACCGGAATGTGATGCCCAAAGAAAGAAAGAATTTTTATGAGGTTGAGTGCCTCGACATGCTGATACTCGGCCAAGTCTTTCATGATATCCCGGAACGGCTCGGCCAGCTTTTCATCCGTTAGATGAGAACCAAATTTGTATTTCTCCAAAGCCTTTCCAGAAGCCCTCAGTCGATGACCAATCGCGTGAATCGCAAGAGGCAAGCACTGGTAGTAATTTACCAAATCAATGGCCTTCTTCTCTTGCCTAGAGGTGGGATGTTTAATCCCTAAATCTTTGTAGAGGAGTTTGCATGCGTCCGATACCGCGAGACGTTTAACCTCGAGTCCATATGGCTCCAAGAGCCTCTGCTTCTTGCTCAAACTGCGATCGACGGACGTGTAAATGATGGCCGTTTCTTTTGCATAGGGAAGCACATTTTTGAATTCATCAATATCTTTGCTGTGCTCAAAGGAGATACCATCGAAAATGAGGAGCCAGTTTTCCCTTGACCCAAGCCACTTTCGAACACTGTCCACATAGACACCAGTGCTTCCCCAATTAGGGTCATGGCTTTCTTTCTCCCCTGTTAGTTCGTCCACCATTTGTGCAATCTGCCAAATACCATTATACCGTGACTCCCTCGTTCTGCAGTCAATCCAGAAGATGCCGCCAGGGTACAAAGACTGATAGGTGTACATATATTGTCGCGCAAGGTGTGATTTTCCGGCGCCCGGAACCGCATATAGGAGAACTGAAGCGGTACCGGTTGCCCTCTTTTTAGCCTTATACAGACGGTTGTGCAGTTCATTCATCTCCTTTTCCATTCCAAAAAAAGTAGAATTTGGGTGGAAACCTGGAGGCACAACGCGAATAAAGGGATCCTTTTCTGGGTCCTGAGATTGAGGGATCTCTCCTATCTCAGATGGCGGATTTGGTAAAAGGGTAGACACGCTGTTCGCTGTTTATATGAAAGTCAACACATCCTGAATAGTGATGGAGTAGGGTGGGACAGAGATTAGCAGCTTACCTAGGGAATCAAATTTTTCTGTTTGTAGGGAAATCAAGCTTCCTCCCAGTGGATCATTTAAACCTTTAATGAAGATTTTAGAATTAGCAATAGTTTTGAAGAGTGAACATCTGGAGGACTTACCGTAGAGTCTTCTCGCCTCCTCCTGTCTTTCAATCGCCCGTTCCCTATATTCCTGTGCCCACCTGGCGGGGATGATTTTGGGGGCGTCCCTTGAATAACGAAAAACGGCTTCAGATACCGCCTCGTAGCCAGGTGAATTCCTATCTTCGAATCGGCACATGCTGCCATGATCTGCTTCGATCCCCATGCGTTCCACTCCATCCATCAACGGGGCTGCAGAAGCCTCATCCACAATAAAAGCACGAGTACTTTTGAGGTCCATGGGCTTCGACTCATGGAAGAAATATATTCGAAATCTATCTATGATCTGAACAAAGTCACGGTTAATGATCTGCAGATGTTCATTATCTGTTTTAAGACTCTGAATTAGTTGAGGCGATGTATCAAACAATTTTTTTGGCAATACGGCGCCGCATATCGACTGAAGCAGGCTGCCAAACTTGGCAACATCGGAGCCGTTATGCGGGGTTCCCAAGAACAGGATGCCGTAAGTTGACACGTATGTAGATCGAAGATGTTGAATGTGTTCGTGCCTTACTCGAGAGCAAAACGTAAGGCACTTTTTAACTACCAGGCCACCGAGGGAATGGCATATGAAGACAATCGGTCTATCCACCGCTCCATTGAGCTTTAAACGTACGTCAGCGAGAGGGTATGCCATTTCCAGGGGAGAATCTTGTGCTCACATTTCTGTTGGCGAAGAGGTGGGCTGCTAGGTGCTCGGCATGGTTGTGTATTTTATCTTTCGAGGTTCCATCCATGAACGCGGAGACATTAGCATCGTAGCCATATGTCAAAATCCGAAGCTGTTGACTTGGAAGTGTTCGAGGGAGGAGGTCTGCGGGCCAAAATATGTCGGACTTCTTTGTCGCCCACGTCGCATACGCTGATCCGTTAAGGCCATGGACAAATACAACGCTGGAAGGGTTAAGAACATACACTGTTAGCACTGGTGTGACAACAGGTAAGGCAGCAACACTTACTCGACCTGAGGGTCCTGGGAAGTGTAGACCTCCGACAATCCGAACTCCTTGACTCGGGGCCTTTCTCTGTGAGTCGAGCCCATTTTTGTGATGTTTGTTTAATCCTGAAGTGGAATAAACCTCCAAGCATCAGGCGGGTAAACTGGCAGGTGTTTAAATACTATATACGTTTATCAGATGGCCGCCACATCCCAGCCCTGTTGACAAGCAAGAGGCCGGTACAGGGTAGGACAAATTCAAAGCAAGATGCCCCTGGCAGCAACCTGACTCCGGTGCAAAACAGTCTTGTGAGCAGACGAAGGACTCAGGGCCAGACAACGCGTTAGTGACGAGTCGTCATTGAGCTAACCCGCCCGGCGGTGGTTGGTCAGGTGCCTGAATGCAAAAAGCGCAGAGAGTCACGCTTTGCTCGGAGGCACCATGGAGGACTTCGCCCGAGAGGCAGCGTTTTTCGGAAATGGGAAACATGTAAGTCGTTAATCGGCCGTCATCCTTAAGCCGTCGGTTCGCCTGAAGCTTGGTAGAAGTGAGTTTTCCACCACCCGCTCAACGTTCCCTCCTTCGAGAGTTACTCACCTTTCAGCATCGTCTGCGGGAAAGCTGAGACGGCGCGGGCGTTTAGGGTCGATCAGGGTGTGGGCCCTCACGAGTCAACCATCGCGACGAAAAGGTGGATGTGCATATCGCCCGTCTCCCACCAGCAAATAACCAGGCTCCTGCAAGAGCCGCACAGCCCTGTCCGGTCCAGTCAAAAATGAGGCATTGCTATGGAGAACACACACCCCGGTATGAGCCTCTTCAAGGGGCCGCTTTTTGCTCGCCAACCAACAGGTAACTTAACTATGGTGCTAAGTTTAAACCGCCCACCCCACCACCACCAGGCCGCCCTGTACCAGTCAAAGGGACCTCACCGGCACTCTCGTACTTCTCGGATGTCTTCGCCGGCTGCGAACTTCCCTTCTCGCTTCGAAACCCATCCCGCTGTGTCGGCCAATCCTGGTCGTTTTCTTGTACCCCAGCGAGGCGCACAACCCCGGTCTCTGGGTCCCTCCCGGCCCCGGATCCAAAGCAAGTTCAACCGTGAGGGGCGGACTCCATGTGTGCATGGTTGTATGTGCTATGTGCTACAAGCCGAGGAACACCACATCTTAAAACACCGGGAAGAGGATGGCATAGTGACACCATTATGCACAAGATTAACTACAGGTGATTTATGCCCATGGTATTATTCAAAGCACGCAGCGCTGTCATCTATGCGGCTGCACTTGGAGTAAATCGAATCATCAAGATCTGCACCGGCCAAGTTCGTTAGTCACATCACCTTCAGCCTGCTAAAAGTCACTTCGCTAACTCCGGGCTAACACACTTGTTAAACCTATTTTGGTTTAGAGGGCGCAAAGCTGAGTGACCCAGCACGAGCCTATCAAGGTCCAAGTTCTCATACTTTTGGGGTGTTTTGGGGCTGCAGCATCGCTTTGGCCCTAAGAGGCCAAAAGACCACAAGGAAACGCGTTTTCTGCTGCTTCCTGCATGCCTCCTGCGTCTCCAAACATCAGGGCATTCTAGTATCAAAGGAAATACTGGCTGATTTACGGAGCACAGAATGCCCCGTCGCCCGCCCCTGCAGCGGTGGATACGGGAATCGAAATTGAATACCTTTACTGGATCGGTCAGCCGCCGGCTCTCGAAAAGCATCGACATGCGTTCTGGACAATCACTCGCTTTCCCACTTGACAATGCGAGTGCCACCCTTCGAACAGATATATCCAATACTACTATTTGATATCTAGGCTCTGTGGGGCACCTCCAGGCATACAAATGCGACTTCCGGGCGCTACTGCGCTGTGTCTCCCCCAGATCATGACTGCATGGTAGGACTGACCAGAGAGAAGTAGATCGGCTATATTGAGCAAACACTCCTCTGGCACTCTCAAAAGTGCTGGTCAAGCAAAGCCGCATGTTGGCTCCTACGAATCAGGAGTCTCGGTCGAAGCAAACTTCAATTCCAGATGCACAGCATGTCTCTGCGTGCATGCATATTTTCATGGCTTTTGGAGAACGACTGGCGACTAAACGCCCATTCTCTAACCTTCTTCTCTCTCCCCCTCACAGCCTTCCAAAAAATGCGGTGGCTCGTTATTATCGGGTCCAACAAAAAGTGCTGCTGACCTATAAATCATCTCAAGACTGCTAACTACGTCATCACTGCTGAACTTGTTACAAGTGGTGTAGCTGGCATTTTAATTGCTGCTATTTCTGCCACTTAGGAGTGCCACTCGGCCTCGAACATCATGACTGTTTCACATATTACATCATTCCTTTTTGCCTGTTGCGTCGCCACAGGAGACGTATCATGCGATAGCACCGTAAACTGCCACCCAAAGAGAATCTTCAAGCGCCTTTTGAGTACATGAGGCACATTTTTGAATGCATAATTGCCTGAGAAAGCACCATGCCTACCGTGCGAAGAGACTGGGGTTCTCGAAACTTGGATCTTGTTTTGGCCCTCGACCTCATCACCTGCCCTTAAAGCATGGTTTCCTCTTTTCAGCAAATGCCTTCAAAGCCTCGTACCGATCCTCGGTATCCACAACTCCCAGATACGCCTCGTTCTCCCCTTCTTGCCCCCTTTCGTAACCCGTAACCGCCTTGACAGCCTGCTTTAGCGCAATCGGCCCTCCCTCACAGATGTCCAACGCGAGTTTAATACTCTCGTGAAGGACTTTTTCCCTCGCTGCACCCGCCTGAGCCTGCTCCTCCGGACTAATTTCCACCAACCGGTTGCAAAGACCGATGAAGTAGGCTTCTGGTGCGCTGACTCGTCGGCCTGTGAGGATCATGTCTAGAGCACGGTTCTGGCCGATGAGGCGAGGAAGGCGATGCGTGCCACCTGCGCCGGGGATGATGGCGAGTCGGGTCTCCGGGAGACCAACGATGCTAGTTGAACCGAACACACGGAGATGCGTGGACAAAGCGAGCTCGAGCCCACCGCCCAGGGCCATGGAGGAGATGGCTGAGATGGTGGGAATCTGGAGAGCCTCGAGGTTTGCGAAGGTTTGTCGGAGTTGAGCGAGGAATGCATCGGTTCTGCAAGGAAAAAAAAGCGTTTAATCAATACCTTGTTCGCCTGACTGCGCATAAAAGCCAACAAGGAGCATATAATTTTATTTTTGAGGCGAATGCTTTCCTAGCATAGCCAATCTTCTCGTAGGACAGCGAAGCAAAATGTAGACCACCAAGGAATAGATTACCACACTCACTCTTCTCTCGTGAATTTCGCTCTCTCCTTCAAGTCCGCCCCGGCGCAAAACGATGCATCGACGTTACTGGCAACAATCAGCGCTCGCGTGGGACCCACGCCTCTCTCAGCGCTGATGGAGTCGATATGCGCCCCCAAACTGCTAAGAAGTTGTTTTGATATCGCATTGCGAGCTTCCGGTCTGTTCAACAGCAGTACTCTGATGTGGCCAGCTCCGGGGGCGGGGATCTGCTGGACATTGATGACGGCACCGTGTGCGCTGGTGCCGAGGGTGGCGTTGCCGCGCACCTGACGGAAGGGGAATTGCCTCAATGGAGCTGAAAAAATGAGTACTCGAGGAGGCATGGTTGTGGAATTGAGTATGAAGGCGGAGATCCTGGAGACAGTAAGAAATTCAAAGGGAAACTGGGCGGGCTCCCCATATGTACTGTCCGAAGCTCTGTGTATGGCCCTCGGCGCGGGTCTCCGATCGGATATGGGGCCCGTGATCTGCTCAACCCAAGAACGGCGGCTAAAGGCGGGACAAATGGAATTGACAAAAAATATCCACGATCAAGTTCAATGGACATCTTCATAATTTCAAAAGTTTTAGATACTATTATACAAAAAGCCTATGTATATACAAGATCCAAGGCCTAATATACATTAATGTGACAACTTAGGGCCGAAAACCGCACTAGTGATGCGGACAACTGGAACAGTGTACAGCAAACGAGGAGTTCGGGGACGGTCCGGGGGACGGTCCACCGTTCTCGCAAATATCTTAAAAAAAGCCCTTGTGCTCAGCAATATACTGACGTACTTCCTCATCTGTGGGCCATGGCGATAGAAAATCAGAGCCTTCCACGATATCATATGCCTTTTGCAAAAAATAGTTTGGCATTGAGGACATCAACTCTACTCTCGGACATTCGTTTGACTGGGTTGTCAAATTCGAAGTCGATGATTCACACCCCGGTACAGATGAAGGATCAATATTGTGTGCATTCTTTTCAAGGTACACTCGAGCCGCAGTCACAGCGCGACGCATCGACCTCTCCCCGCCGAGAAGCTCCTTTGTTACTCGTCGCAAGTCGCTCGAATTTCGAGATATCCACCCGAGAAGGCACGTTAGACTTTCAAAGTCCCCTGCCAGGGCAAGGACACGAATAAACACATGGAGTGTAGATGGACTCGGGATGGCAAACATTGTTGGCAGCGCGGGATGCTTTGGCGAGCCAAAGCAGAGAGGATCTCCAGTGATTGAAGGAAAAAGCGGCCCGTCCCTCGAAAGGACCATCTGGTCAAATTTTCGCTTTACCAGGCTGACGCCATTGCTAGCCATTTCCGAGTCCGTTGATATGTGTGTGGTGCTCAACCCAATGGATTGTAAAATCTTTAAACCCGGTTTTCTTCCACGTTCGTTATTCTGTATGGCAAGCAGCCACCTTGAGAGAGCTTCACACACAGAGTTAAAACAGCTGGCATCAAGGCTAAGGTTCTCTTCTTCCATCCAATTCAAAACTTCGCTAACCTCCCTCCACGCCAGTGCCCGCTGTGTCGAGAGAGAGAGACGATTGTCACTGACAGGGAGCCGGGCGTTAGCCAAACTTGACAAAAGAGAGCTCCAAGTTGGTAAATACTCCGGCATCCGTAGCCGCACCAAAGAAATGGCATGCGATAACCCTCCGGCAGCGGCTACAGTGTCCTCAGCATCACGTAAATCCTTATTTCGAGTTTCCGTTGGCCTTGCGATAGGGAAGATTTGGCTAAGTAATATGCTTGAGCTACCCGACGAAGTCGCTTCATGGCCCGGGAATCTGCAAAGGAAACGGATAAAGGCACAGAAGATATCATTCCGGACAGAATCGAGATGCTTCTTCCGGCTCGGATCCTCACAGCTGAAAGTAGATGTCAATGCGTGAATCTGCCGGGGTGGCAAATCACTATTGGCAAGGCACTCCAGCCCTGATTTAAAGGAAGTCAAGTGGGTTAAGATTAGCACTAACAGTCTCTTCGAGAGCTTTATCTCCTGGGAAAACATCTGTTGAAGTAGCGCTTCCACCGTTGGCGGCTCCGAAGGCACGTAGATTACGTCTCGAGGAGAGGATGGCTCAGAATATACCTCTTTTCCGTCACCCGGTAATGCCTCAGTCGAGCGAATTCGAGACGAGTCTTGTAAATAATCGTGATATATCACCTTCTCCACAAGCTCAAAATAGATATCGTTGGTAATACGAAAACCTTGATCCCGACATGACAAGAAGCAAGCCCAAGCCTCCTTCATGGTCCTCGTCGCACGGATCCGTGCAGCCCAGACATCGTGGTACGTATCTTCGTACCTGAAGCCCGGAAGTAGATCAACGTTGCTCGCTTGTCGCTTCTCTTTTAACCATACCGTATGTTGATCTCTCATCCGATAAGGATTTGGTTTGGGAAGAAGGCATCGGGTTTGAATCGTAGGAGTACCGTCGATATCCCACCCGGCCAAAATGGTGGCTATTCGGTCCCATCGTGTTGGAGAGTAGCCGGCTTCCTTCATCCGCGTAATAGAACCTATCGTCTTACTCTTACTTCCCTCAAGTCCCCTATCCACGTCAATTCCCAACTTGTCCTCTTTCCATGGGGGCCATGATTTAGCCTTGAACTCTGCCCATGTGCGTTCTGCAGATAGTTTCGGTCGGCCACCCTGAACCCTGGTAACGGCGTGATAACCTTCTCGAGTAACAGGTAGCGGCGGGTCAAATTTTGTCATTTCCCTCAATAAATGGAAAATAGAACGCTGCTGTATGACGGTAGATGCGTACGGCTCGACTCTGCATGGAACGGCCAGAAGAGACAAAAACTTATTGTAGTAAGTAACCAAACGCCGCATCCGTTTGTCACTCATTGTCTCCGCAACAGCATCATAACCAAACACAGAGGTAAACATGTCAGAGATAGACATAAGTGCTTCCGGCGAAATTCGACGAGCAGCTCGTATAAGGCGAACAAAAAGGATCATTACCGTATTATCATCTCCAGATACCATCCATGTCGGCTTGAGAGAACTCGGCATTAGCTGATTACCCGCCTGCGTTTGAGGCGCTGTTTTGCCAGGTTGAACATCCAGAAGCATATCCCAAGAGTGAGTCAATAAAAGGTTGAGGGCCTTTAGGTTGATAGCTTTCCGACGAAGAGTAAACAAAAGTACGAATAGAGGAATACGGCTGCTGGACGACGCCTCGGCTTGGGGATTAAATCGCTTAGAGGCGGCCAAACGCATTGCTGCAGTAACTGGATGAGGTGACAGTAAGATCCAAGCCCATGTCATTACATCAACAGCGGAATAACCCCTCCGAGACAAATAATCCATAGTCTTCTTATCGAATACCTTTAAAAGAACGACGTCGAGAGGATGGAGGCTTAGACTGTCTTTTTTGAATTTCAGGGATTCGGGCGACAGAATAGGATCGACATAACGGATATAATTAGCAACTATCGTTGCATATGATAAGCGAGCGGACTGTTTTGGGCTACTTTTGCCCTGGTGCGACTTGAGTCTTGCCGTCCTTTCCGTGTCAGTTGGGCCGGTGGGATTGACCCAGGACAAGTCAACAGTGTAGGATTTAGGTTCGGACACGTCTATGTTTAGGCCTCTGGCCTGTAGTGCTGAGATCAATGCATCGGAGGGAGTCTCTCTGAAGTGTAAGTTCGCGCCATCTGGATGATGCTGCTTCCATTCGCCTTTATCATGATCTATTTTGGCGACTTTGATCGGCCGGGACGAAAATGCGGGAGCTCCCGGCAAGTGTGGGCAATTCGGTGAAAATGTAGAATCGCATAGAGGTGCGGCCGGCCCCTAGAAAGCTGTTAAACTTGCAGAAATAGACTAAGGACAGTGTGGTTCGTTACCCATCGTTGCCAACAGAACGATGCACTTGGCCGAATCACAGACAAAAAAGGCCTAATTGCCAGATGGCTCCGGATGGATTTATGAACTGAGGACATCCATCGAACGGCAAATTCAAAATCGCTAGCAATTGGAGGCCGTAGATCCTGTTGTTTCGGCGCCGGAACCAACTCGCAGCACGGAAGAAGGTGATGCTGGAGAAATTTCTCTGCCCAAGCGCAAGCTCCGGCACCATTGATTCAGCTTAGTCATCACAAACTGCTCAATGTCACGTGCATAGCTTAGTGAGCAAAGCCGAAAATCCAAACAGAGTTTAACGCTCCAGGAAACCCGCCAGAGTGCCCGTCCTTGTCCTCTTGTCATCCTGAAGCAGTGCTGTTCTGCGGGATAATCAGTGTGGTCTTGTTGTGTCTGCTGTTTACTCCTGTCTCTTTCCAGGTGGTTGAACACTAAGGTTTGTTGCTCTCGCCTCCCCCCTTGTAACTCCTGTCTAAATAACTCTGCGATTAGGAACTAGTGAACGACACGCGCGGAAAATAGCTGGAGGCACACACTTCTTTTGTCTGACCTATCAACCAGCCATCACCAGAAATCTGACCAAAGACAGCGACCTTTGATGCACCAAAATCTGTGTCGCAAGCTGAAGGTCTTCCATGATCTCTTGTTCTATTGACTTGCTTGCGCAAGGAGGCCAGTCTCTGGAAAGGTTAATTGAGGAAGGCTAATCCATCAGTCCGGAGGCCGCCCGTCAAAGGCTCCCTTGGTGTTTTGTGTTCCAGAGCAATATGGAGAAGAATAACTTGCCCATGATGCCGGCTTCAAATGGCGACCTGTCTCATCCGGTCACCGACTCCTCATTATACCTCACGCCATCAAAACGAAAGCATAATCCAACATCCGCGCAAGAAACTGAACCTGCTGAATCCGCTGGTGATCCTACGCTTCCTAAGGGTGAACCTACAGATGATTCCCTTGCCATCTCCCTTAGAGATATATTGGAAGTCGTATCTGAGTGCGTAATGTCCTCAGTTTTCTTTGTTCCAGCTAAAGTTCAATGTCTAACTTACCCCCTCTTGACCCTGCAGGTATGATTCCGAGCTCAAGTTACTCCAGTACCCTCTACCGTCAAAATCACACTCAGAACCTGATAACAAGCGCACGAAATTATCAGAGCCAGAAGGCAGGGCAACCATTGAATCAAAAATCAACAAGAAGGAATACAAATCCCTACAAGAGTTCACTGATGATGTTGAAACAGTCTCAGGGCTGGTTGCTAGTGACAATGTACAATCACCAGGTCAACCAGGGAACCTGGAAATATTAAGTGTAAATGAACGCTCGAAGAAAGCCAACTCGTTCAAGAGGCATCTAAACACCTTACTTCTCAGAACTAGGCGTCTTCAGTCACAGATTGTTAAGCCTGAACCTGGACAAGACCAAGATGATTCATCTCAGGCGTACCCATTACGCGTGCTACCTCCTCGAGAAGATCGAGCCATTCTCACCGTTACGGTCGGAAACCCACCGCGAACTTATTTCTCAAGCTTCCAAACCAAAACAGATTCATCGCGTTCTATGTCGACCACAACAGATGGAGAGCCATCCCCGCGCATCGACGAATCTACTCTACCCAGCGACATCAGGGTTTCAAAGGTCATCCCATACAACGTGACCCACTTCCAAAAAGAAAAGGGCGTAACGAGAACTTTTGGCGAGGTTTTTCAATCCCCATCTCATCTTGCTCAGCTGATACGCCCGCAAAAAAGTAAGCCTTCGACTAGTGACAATGTGGTGCGCTGGCTCCAGCCTGTGGATATCTTAGCTGCTTCTTCGAGAACGTTCTCCGGTCAAAAGCTATATAACAACAAACCGTTGCGCCCAGGACACTGGTTAGACTATGGTCGAGGGATATCTCGCGCTAAATTCACAAGTTCTTTTTCCTCTGGTGGAGATAGCGGGGTCGCAGGCTCCGACACAGAGGAATCGCTGTTTAGATCCGTTTATTCTTCCTTCGCCCCGAATTACGATAGTGGAGGAGCTGTTATGCGCAAGGATATTCAATACCTAGCATATTGGGATAAACGTGGAAGAGATCAGTTCAATCGCTTATTCCCCGATTGGGACCTGCACGATGTAGAGCCAGTGCGACAACTTTTCGAGAAAACGGCCCTAGAACCGGAGCCCCTGAACGATGCTGATCTACAGCAAGCGATTGAATCCTTTGATCCAGATATAGACATGAACGGTCCCGCAAAGGACAAAACAACCGATGTTGAGAGCTCCAACGAGGATGTTGAGCAAATTCTAGACGAGATTTCTAATCTTTTGAGAACCTTGCATTCTTATCGTCATTTGCGCAATCTTTACCCCCCGCCTGGACAACTCCCAAGTATCGATTCCAATGCATTTGGCCAGCTCTCAGACGTACCCTCGGAGGAAGAGAAAGCCACCTTTGAAACTCTAAAGCAAAGTCTCTCGTCAATGGTAGCGTTATTACCACCGTACGCTGTTGCTAAACTGGACGCGGATCAGCTCGCGGAGCTAAATATAAATACAACAATTAGACAGGACGCTATTGACTACGCTGGCACGATGGAAGAGGATGAATGGACCATTCGGCAGAAGCATGCACCCAGGGTTCCTCAAGCTGTCAGCCGCTCCCCAGCTCCCAGCACTCATCCTCCAAGAGCCTCGACTTACCAGACACCGCAACACCCGAACATTGCTCCGCATCAGCGATACCAACCCGCTCCTCCTCGTACTAGAAACGCTTCGGCAAATTATCAATCCCCCCAAGGTTATGCTACTCGCCAACAGTCTCAAGCTATCCAATATCAGCAGACTCATCCTTCCCAAGGGTATGCCACAACACCTCAACCTTCCCAGCGCTATGTACAACAACCCTATCAACAGAATTCGCCAGCACCCCAATACACTCGTGCCGGGATGCTACAGCAATTCCAAAGACCAAGCCAAAATACCCCAAACGCGTATACCAGCCAAAGGGGCCTCTCGCCATCGCAAACACCTCAACCACAGTACCCTCGACCAGTGCCTCAAGCAAACTATCAACCGCGACCCAGCGTTGCATCTCCTCACAGGCCGACAAGTTATGTCCAAACTCCACAGCGACAGCCATACATGAACCCGCAGTCTATTGGCACGCAACCTCGGTATTTCCAACAACAAGGCCAGTCAGCAACCCATTATCCGAACTTCCCTTCCAACCAAGCCAGCCCCATTCCATCAACGTATTCAAACAGCGCGGCTGCTATGGCCTATTCACGCAGTGCCGCTGAACAGGCAGCGCTTATCGAACGCAACAGGACTCCATTAATGGAAGCTCAACGCAGGGCTACACCTCTTACACAACCTCCTTCACATAATAATCAAGGAAATATCCCTAGCAATGCTACCCGCCAACAACTCACTCCGAAGCCCCAAATACCCTAGTATGCTAATGGGGGTTCTTCCCAACATCTCACCTTCCTGTGAAATCGGCCTTTAACGCCGTACTTTTTCCCTACCACTCCTCCCGTTCCCATTTTATCCCTTTCCACACGCGAACCAGTACTTTCAAGCTACTTAATTCTATTCTATACTATTATTTACCGGGTACCAAATATTCAGTATTCGTTAGTGGGGATTGGCGTGCGGTTTGATTGTGTTAAGGATCTTCAACTTCTCAAGGGCGCGAGGTCAGGAAAATCTCCGTTTTACACGTGTCACTTTCACAATGCTTTTCCCTCTTTGCTCCATTTTTTTTTTTTTTTTATTTTTTTTTTATTTTTAAATATTTGTTTTCAGAAAGAAAAGCCAGTTCCTATCTGGTCTTAAATCAATGATTTCATGTCAGATTATGGATAGAATGGAGGAGCAAGGCTTCCTGGGTTGTGGTGTTGGAATGCTGTCTTCCCCCTTGTCGTCCTCATGTGAGCTTGTCAGCAGATACTTATTTACACTACAGAGTACGGAGTACATGGACACTCTCTAGCCCCCTAAAAAAACATGAACACAAAGAGTTTTTATGCATCAACAAATACTAAGCCTATGAGCACTTAAACCTTGGAGATCTCGTATGGAAGCTTTGACTTGTACGGAGTAAATATGGAGTATAGAGATGCATTTGAATAAACCAACCCCCCCCCCCCAAAAAAAAAAAAAAAAAAAAGAAAAAGGAAAAAAAAAATGCGGACCGAACCAAAATTTCAGTTTTGCTCAAAAAAACAGTCTCACCCCCTCGATACATTGCATTCCTCTTCCGATAACCTTTTATTTTGACATATTTTTAATTTTCATCGCCTCTTCAGCCTATACAGCTGTAGGATATCCCAAATTTTAGAAAAGAAAAGAAAAAAAAGAAAGAAAGAAAAGGCAAAGATAGTGCAATAACAGCCACCACCAGGACTTCCCCTCACAGGAACCATAGAATGCGCCCCGGTTCTGAGATGATATCGTCATAAAATGCAGAGCGCAAAGGCTAAACTCGTCATACCAAAGACACGGGAGGAAAAAGAAAAGAAAGAAAAAGTGACAGGAAAGGCGGAACAAGAGATTAGAAGAGGACCTCGTAAGCGTCATCATCAGAAGCAACTACTACCACCGGTAATTAAACTCGTCATAAAGAACAAATGAAATTCGTCAATCATATTTTCGTGGACCTTTTTCGTGGACCTTTTTCGTTCTCTTTCTTTCTTTCTTTTTTTTTGATTCCCCTTTTTTTCCCTTTTCCTTTCCCGGTGCTGTCATGAAATGATCATTGCCGCGATGGACATAAATCCGAAATATCTAGACACCAAGAATCAAATGTTAGTTGTGTGGGACGGTGGTTAGTGAGAATGTTGTAAAGAGGAACTACGTACAGCACTGCGCACTTCCAGCCATCTTGCGGATCAATAAAATATTCATGTCCTCCGGGACCATTCGATGCCCACAGAGCAATCATACCCCCGATAATGGCAACGATCACGATCCGTCCGAAGAATTCATTTATGGCACCAAATGCGAGGAGAGGGAACAAGATAGCTGCGCATATAGCGGCGATGGTGGTGTAGATAGGATTTGGATGTTGAAGGATGGTCGTGGAGCTATTCATTGGACGGGGGGCGACAAGGACGAGGTCGGATTTATGGTCGAGAATTCGTCGATCGCCCTTGGTGGTAGATTGGGAGGTGCTGAGCGAGTTGCGGTAGGTTTCAATGTCATCTTCAGAGGGAGGTGGAAGGGTTTGGACGACTTTATTAAAAGAGCACAGGACCCGGTCTTGGTGGAGAAAGACAGGTAAGTTCTAGCTTCTTTACTGTAGAGGTAGTGAACTTACTGTATTGCTCTGTCTTCAATGCTACCTTCTCAAGTAGATCAGTTCTCTTGTAGTGAAGCACTGAGTAATCCTGGATCTGAAGGTCGTGATACTTGGCAGCTAGAAGCTTCTGTCTGGGAGAATTACGAGCGCTTGCGGGGCTTTGGTGAGCGGCTTCCAGTTCGTCCAGGGTGCTGAGGTCTTCTTCAAGCTGGATTATTTCCTCTTGCAAATGCCTTAAGAGTCGGTGATTCAGGGCATCGAATTTTCGGTAGATGCGCGGACGCGACTCGGGAGTGGGCTTCTCGGGTGGTGATGATTTAGGAGAAGATACGGAAAGCGAACGGCGGCGTGCATGTTGGGTTGCTTTGGCGGTATTGATGCTAGGAGGTTCCGGTCTTTTTTTCTTTGGCGAAGCCGGTTTCGTCGGAAGATGTCTAGCGTAATAAAACGACTCGGGCGCTGAGGGGTCCATAAACGAAGAAGAGGTCACCGGGTTCTCAAGTAAGGATTCAGTGTCTGTGATGTAGGCGCCGGCCATTGGACCTGGTCGCTTCGACTTCAGGGGTCTGACTAGGCCCCATTTCATGTTGTCGAGGGGTATATCCGGCGGGGTGGGAGGTTGATATTCGTCTCCTGAGACGGTGGACGAAGCACGTCCTGGGCTATGATCTCTGACCGATATTCCCGAGTCTGAACGAAAACTGTATGCCGTGCTGTCCTTGCGAGAGCAGTCCTGCTCTGGTGGCCGTGAAGCTGGACCTTGTTCCGAATAGCGCCGTTCTACGCATTTCAGAGCTTTTCCACTGGGTTCTGAGTCCTCGTTATCTAGGAACTGAAAGACATCTGGAGCTCTTTCCACCGACGTGGGTTCTGTAGATCTTGTTGTAGCCCTCCGACGGCCCGGTAGAATCTCCTTCTCCCTTGGACGGTGCGAGGTACTCTGGCTCCTGGGACGCGAACTGGGTTCCAAAATCTCATCTATAGGCCGTGCGACAGCGACGTTCGCCACTGCTGCCACTGGGTTGGCAAAGGGAGAGAAGGACTTTTTGGATGCCCGTCGCTTGCTGTTCTTCACGTGGCTCATGATTGTTGTTTGTTTATCCAGATGACCTGCGGGACTAATAAAGCTTTTCCGGGGTAAACAATGACGGAGTGTCTGCGTGACGTAGATCCCCTAATGTTATTTTTATGGATAAATAGGCCTCGATCCAGATGAGCTTTGTTCCTTCAGGCTCCGGTATCCAGAGATGGGGGTAGTATCAAAATGTTCCAAGCATCCGATCAGGCTGAGGGATCAGCAACGTAGAGGCCCAGGACAGACGACTCAGCCGTTGCACCTCGAAACACAAAATGTTCAGTGTTAAATATATATTATGGTTTATGCAGCCCGCCACTATGGAAGGACGGTGTGTCGACGACAGATGTACGTACGACTTGAGACGGTAGGACTGGGCCGACGGGGAAAGGTCTTCGCTTAACTACTCCGTGCTCCGAAGCTCAATAAGACAAAATAAAATAAAATGGGTCGAGATGAGATAAAGATAGTTCCAATAGTTTCAACAACGGGGGAGGAGAAGAAGAAAAAAAAGCAAATGCGCCCAGCGCCAGGCTAGCCAACTATTATTATATTTGCAAGGAGATAATAAAAAAGCGAGAGATCGTCAAAAGGGTAGTGATACATGTTGGTACGCACTGCCGGCGACACAACCTGAAGGAGGGAGGCCACCCCCCCCCCAAAATTCATCCTCGTGTGGACGAATAACTTCAAGAGTTTGAGATGTGTCTCATGATGGCGAAGTCCCGTTGCACTACGCCTGGCCGAGCTAAAAATGGACTAGGGTGCGTCAGAGAGATTTTTCTTTTTCTTTTTCTTTTTTTTGAGGCCCCCAAGGGTTACAACTTGATGAAGTAACTCCCCAGATACGAGGGTCAATTTCACTGTTGTAAAACAGTCTTCATCGCCAGTCTCTTTCTTGCTGGTCAGGAGCAGCACCGGTTGGCGCGCGTCATTGACGTAGTTTTCTTACTGCAAAGAAGATTTCAACAAAGACCGTCTTGTCTGCATCCCCGATTGTCGTCCGAGACCGACGCAGCTCGTGGCCAACGATGACTCGTCAATTCCTCGCGGCCATTGGGTCAAGGGGGGTCACGCTGAGGAGTAACTGCCGGGAGTATCTACTAACTGACTGAATACTCCGCCATGGCCAACTGAACCAAACTCCCCAAGAAGTATGTTCGTCCGCCATTCGTTTGTCAGCCACGCATGTGGTCCATTTCAAGTTACCTGTCCGCGATGGATCTCCAACAGGATGACATCCACCATGCGATCTCGCTGGCGCGCGTTGACGCCGGTGGAACGACGAGAATTCCACAGCGTTTTGCCCTATCCAGAGCCAACACGCTTCAGTTTGCAGCGAATTCTCGATTAGGATGATAACCCGAGCAGCCTGTATGCGAGTCCCTGGTGGTCCTCTCTCTTGCGATCTTCACCCCCCTGCTGTCCACCGTAACTTGGAACTCATGTACTCTACTACATCATCGATCATAATGTCCAACGCTGCATCCTGCATTACATCCAAGGGAACTGGTTCTGAGGTCTCACAGGGAATTGCCCGACTGAGTGGCTCAACGTGTAATAGTCCTTTTTCAACCGTTTCTCAGTGCGATTATTGCATTCTCGCAAGGATGAGGCCCGGCTAATTGGGGGAATGGACCATCTCACCTCCGACGAATCGCAGCTGAGGAGACCACACCCCCCTCGAATACCGTGAAGAGTTCTTCATGTCGTATCTGGGGCATCTCGGGCCGGCCATTGGCAGAGAAACCTTGACGAATTTGCGGGGGAGTTCGGCAGGGCACACGGCCCAAAAGTCTGTATATATTCACTTTGCGAGCGCGCGATTCCGGCTACCCATCGATTTCATTCCCTTTGTAACTAAATTCATGTTTCCTTTTTTGTTCCATCCCGGCGTTACTGGTCTATATGGAATCGTATATTAGGTTGGCTTCACGCCATCGTCGGCAACAGACGCCGTCTATTGGTAAAGACGTGTGCCCCGTCTGCCGGGGTAAACCATGGACCTCTGACGACCGAGGGCTCTGATCAGCGCACCTGTCGAACCTGGGATGGTACGGTATTTAATTATCTCTCGCTTTCCCGCCGTGATCCTCGCCGTCCTGGCGTTCGGCTGCATCCCTCCACCGCGCGAAGAATGCGACGTGAACGGGCGCACTACGGCAGCCCACAGCGGCCGCCCAATCACCGCTCTCCAACCCAACAACGCAACAGCCCAGCTTGCAATCCGCGCGAGGTCGCTGCAGCCCAACTGTCCGCCGTTCCTCGCAACGGCTGTGCCTGACAGATTCGTGTCGTCCCTATGCATATGGTCCGGCTTAGCGTATGGCACCGTGCAATCCCCCGCTCTCGACTGCCCCCTCGTTCCGCGAGCCATCGCCCGACTGGGAGTCTCCGGCTTCCTAGAACCCAACCGTTTGAGAATGGGAGCCTGTCGTGGAGAGCAGCACGGCCTCTGAGCACCCAAACACCTGCGGATGCTCAAGGCCGTCAGAACTTCGTTCCACTTCGCAAGGAACTAAAAGACACGGCCAAAGCAAAGCGGTTGGCAAAGGGGCAACAGAGTCGGAATGGCATCGCCAAAACTACTCGGGACGATTGGGAGTTAACGGTGGGAATTGAGGTGCATGCGCAATTGGACACTGATTCAAAGCTCTTTTCACGTAAGGCGCGTTGTCCGAGCCTGAAAATGGTCCTTATGCTAATTGCTCGGAGCTTAATATAGGTGCGTCTGCCTACCTTGACGATGCGCCGAATTCAAATGTCGCGCTTTTCGACCTGGCGTTTCCAGGCAGTCAACCAGTGAGTCGTCTACACAGCATTTGCCGTTGAGCATGGGACCATGCTTATGATTTTTAAGTCGTTTCAACCGGCAACGTTGATACCTGCACTGCGTGCTGCTATCGCCTTCAATTGTGATATCCAGCGAGTCAGCAGCTTTGACCGGAAACACTACTTCTACCAGGACCAACCGGCCGGCTATCAGATAACACAGTACTATGGTATGGATGGTCCTCTCGCCTAATGTTCAGTGCAATGGCCAGATTCTTACAACTATCCCGCAGACCCCTACGCAAGGAACGGCATCCTCCGTCTATACAAGCATGATGGAATCGCCCCAGAAGACGGAGACTGCGTTGAAATAGGCATCAAACAGATTCAGATGGAGCAGGACACCGCCAAATCCCAAGAACTCCCCTCGCACACATACCTCCTTGACTTTAATCGTGTGTCCCGGCCACTCATCGAGATTGTCACTTTGCCACAGATCCACTCGCCTGCCACGGCTGCGGCATGTGTTAAAAAGATCCAGGCAATCCTACAATCGTGTGGTGCAGTCACGACGGGAATGGAAATGGGAGGCCTGCGTGCCGATGTCAACGTCTCCGTTCGCAAGCACGATTCTGCAGCTGGCACGCACAGATACCAGGGAATAATGGGACTGGGCCAGCGAACAGAAATCAAAAACCTGAGCAGCTTCAAAGCTGTTGAGGATGCAATCATCGCGGAGAGAGACCGCCAAATCGCGGTGCTCGAAGCCGGTGGGACCATTGAGGGAGAGACACGAGGATGGACACTTGGCAGCACGGAAACCAGAAAGCTACGAGGGAAAGAGGGAGAGGTGGATTATCGGTACATGCCAGATCCTGATCTGGGACCTGTGGTCATTGGTGAAGACGTGCTGCTTGAACTTCACGATACCATGCCACCGCTGCCCGATGACATATTCAAAACACTCACGGAGGACCCACAGTACGGCCTCTCGGCTGAGGATGCTAAGACCTTGTTGGAGCTGGATGATGGCACCCGACTGGATTACTATCAAGATGCAGTCGATATGCTTAATTCCTTCCAGGCCCAAAACCCAGCGACCGTGAAAGGGTTTGCTGGGGGGAAAATGCTCGGAAATTGGGTCCTGCACGAGCTGGGCGGCTTATTTAGTAAATACGAGCTTCCATGGGATCCAAACCGCGTCTCGGGACAGGCCCTGGCGGAGATAGTCCATCTCCTATCCAGGAAAGCAATCACCGGGACCACCGCCAAATCCCTTCTCGCAACAGTGTTTGAAGGAGACACTAGGGCAATTCAGCAGATTGTGGATGAAGAAGATTTATCATTCAAGCCACTGTCACGAGCAGAGTATATTGCTCTAGCGGAAAGTATAATCCAGAACAATCCGGAGACAGCAAGGGAGATTCGCGAGAATGGAAAGTTGGGTAAGATCGGCTGGTTTCTGGGCCAGATGATGCGACTGGGTGACAAGGGAAGGGTGGAAGCACCCAGAGCTCGGAAGATCCTAGAGGAGCTTCTGCGATAATAATGGGCCGTCTTCCACCTCCCGGAATATCATGTGTATTCATACCTGTACGATAGTTTCTCCAAAAGAAATCAAAAACAGTAAATTTTCTCAAGAGAGAAACCTATTTGACTATGTCCAGTTCAACTCAAGAGTACTACGTACTTGTATGCACAATGGCTCTCTCTCTCTCTCTCTCTCTCGGTCAGCCTTTTAATCTTTTCCTTTTTTTTTTTTTTTTTGGTGGCTTTTGTATTTTCCTTATTTTCTGCTTTCAACGCACGAGAGAAAAAAAAAAAGAAAAAAATTCCCGATCCAACGGCTGCATGGCCTCCTCCATATTTAAGTAAATCGCCGGGAGCCTATCAATACCTCCGTAGCGCTGCAGCCGAGGAAGCGCAACCAGCCAGGTTCAGGCTCACGCCGGTTTCTTCAGACCCATTTTTCATGTCTCGGCTTCCGTGGCGCTCTCTTAAAACTGTACTTAGCGGAAAATCAGCCCCCCAGGTTCCACCGCGCCTCCGCCGCATCTTCCCCTAAAAGCATTTTGAGCCGGTGGGAATGTCACGCCGGAGCTTCGGGAGGAAACGCACTCCTCTCTTTGGCTGCCCCCGGTAGAGCAGCAGCGAAACGTCAGTACGGAAATCCTTTTCTTGTTTGGTTCGGGGATGACGGTGATTAGGATTTTTTTGGGTCTGGGCTTGAGCCGTGGCTATCCGCCAGCAATTCTGCGGTGAAGCTTTGCGGGGAGAGAACTCAAGAATATATATTGCCTCCATTGACCCTGGGCGTTTCTTTGCTGCCTGGATATAGGCTTTACCTGGTAAACGTTTTGCTTTTATTTTCTTTTTATTCCCTGCAGCTGTTTTTTTGTGTGCTGTAAAGCGAGCTATACCCTGTTTCGCAGCTTCTGCTTCTTTTGATACCCCGTAACTTGTTGAGTAGACGGCGGAGTTGCCGTGGCTTTCTTGCTATCGATAACTAAACATTCCATTATTGCCTGATCGCCGGCCGTATTCACAATGACATCTCCAAGCACCATTAAGCAGAAATTCATAGCAAAGGGACACCAGCTCGGCGTCGTGGCCGTTGGTTTCTCGGATGGCCAGGTACGGATATTTCCTTCGGGGCCGATCAGCCTACAAAAGCCGAAAATCTGACTCTGGGAAAAAAAAACAAAAACAGCCCAACCAAGGCGTCGATCCCTCCGGCCTCATCGAAGCCGGACTTCTTGACCAGCTCCGCGATGATCTAGAATACGACATTCGCCATGACGGCCAGGTACACACATACGCCGAATTCGTGCCTGAACACGATCCGAACCACCGGGGCATGAAAAAGCCTCGAACCGTGAGTGCCGCCACCCAACAGCTAAGCAGGCAGGTCTACGAGCACGCACGCGAGGGCAGACTAGTGCTTACCCTCGGCGGAGACCACTCCATCGCCATCGGTACCATCTCTGGAACCGCGAAGGCGATCCGGGAACGGTTGGGACGCGAGATGGCTGTGATCTGGGTGGATGCACATGCGGATATTAACAGGCCAGAGGACAGCGACAGTGGGAACATCCACGGCATGCCTCTTGCGTTTTTGACCGGATTGGCAAAGGATGACAACGAAGATATGTTTGGCTGGTTGCAGCCGGATAATCTGATCAGCCCTAGGAAATTGGTATATATCGGACTAAGAGATGTGGATCGCGCAGAGAAGAGACTGCTGAGGGAGCATGGTATCAAGGCCTTTAGCATGCATGACATCGACAAGTATGGTTCCCTCTTGGTTTCACTTGCAACTAGGAGAAAAGAAAAGGACGAGTGCCCGCTGACTGACTGGATGTGAATCTAGGTATGGTATTGGCCGTGTGGTGGAGATGGCCCTTGCGCATATTGGTCAAGATACGCCCATCCATCTCTCCTTTGACGTGGATGCTCTTGACCCACAGTGGGCTCCCAGCACCGGAACTCCCGTCCGAGGAGGTTTGACGCTCCGTGAAGGTGACTTTATTGCCGAATCCATCCACGAAACCGGCAGTCTAGTGGCGATGGACTTGGTAGAGGTCAACCCAACCCTCGAGACATTGGGAGCGAGCGAGACAATCCGTGCTGGATGCTCGTTGGTTCGAAGTGCACTGGGAGACACCCTTCTGTAGACTACCAGCTTCCGTCTCTTGCCGTTGTGGAGGTCCATGCACGCCTTCTCGGTGGCCGTATTGCTACATTCTGTAAATTATGGCGGCAGTTTTGATTTGGTTTCAGGAATTTGCTGCTGTCATCAAATCAACATTTGTATGCAGCTAAAACTAAACATAGGAATCAAAATGTAACAAATACTTTTGGTGCTGTTGTTTTTGTTCATACTCTTCTGAAGCTGAAAATTGTGGGATGGTACAGAGTAAATAAATAGATGCTACACTCATATTTTACGGGTCAATATGTAGTTAACTGAAAACAGTCTTCTCCATCTGGAGAGCAAACATACGAAGATGTAAAATCAAACATCAGACAATAACAAGCTCTCAGGTCAATACATCGACCCGTTCACCAGAATGGATGTAACACTGGTTGTTGTCGACGACGGAAATCCTGCCACATCATTTTCGCGGGTGAAGATGCTCCCAACCACCCGATTTTATGTCCCTCCTCCAGACCAAAAAAAGAAGATCTCGGCCGTTACTGGGATTTCTGCCTCACCTTGGACCCCTTTTTTTTTTGTTTCGAGTCCTGTGACACCATCATCTATTTCCCCAGCTTATATTGATTTTCAGCGTCGGGTTGTCGTTTGGTTGCTGCTTTGTCCTGAAGCTTTCCACATGTCACGCTAGCCAGGCTGTTGCTGCAAGCCAACGAACTACATTAGTTAGCGACGTCGACGCCCGCCGGCCTTTTTCTTCCATTTCGATACCGACTGTCCAGCTCGCCGCTGCGAGTGGCACGACTCAGCATTGCGCTGCCATAGCGCCAGCACTGACAAAATACCATTTCACTACTCGTCCGAGGCAGGAACTGGAGGCATGTCCAACAGGCAAAAGATACTCCATTCGATTGACTACTGCAAAGCGGCCTGACTCCCCACCGTTCACTTGAAATTATTTCACTCTACTCCGTATCTTTCAACGCTATCTTAGACTGCGTTTTGCGATTTTCACCTCCTTTCGTCTGCATTCGAGCTTGGTTGCCTACGTGGGAATTACACGTTACCGAATCTCAAGCCCAAGGACTTCGTCGTTACCATCTTCACCCCCCTGATCGCGATTCACCCGCCCCGAAATCACGTCGCTGCGGTCCCACCGACGCCCTCCCGTCTGCAACTTCACCCACGCAGACACGCCCAATCATGGCCCACTCCGAGTATACAGCGACGACGGCTTACACTCGAAAGTTCCACTGGCCAGAGATACAGCTGAACATATGGATCCTCATTGTGCTCACCGGGTCGGCAACATGCCTTGGGATATTCAGCTGGTTTATGGTCGTGCAGGCACAGATGGAGCTGGTTGCGCCATGGTAACCTCAAACTCTGCCATCCCGTCGCCTTCCCATGATCCTAATTATTCTTGGCTAACCGGCTGGTTACTTTAGGGTCTTCCCATTCATGGTTGCAATATCGGCTCTGGCAATCATCTTCATCGGTCTAATACTCGTACTCGCGTTCCAGGCTAAATTAATACCCGAAATAATAATCCTTGGATCGTTTGTCAACTTTGTGCTATGGCTGACAGGCCTAATCGGTACCTCGATCCAGCTTTACGGCTCCATCGCGAATGTCAACTCTAATTGCCAGAATTACGTTGAAGCAATGGAGTTCCGGGGAGCCAGTATCAACACCTTGGCATGGCTAACCCAGATAAATATCTGTGAGTACCCTAACCCGGCTCACGCTTCCCCTGGTCAGTGTCGGGCATCTCGCCGTGCTAACCGCTAAATTTGTTTCAGGCAATTGCTGGAAGGCGGCCTTTTCGTTCCAGCTTGTCAACACAGTATTTTTCATCTGGATGCTCTTCATGGCTCTCCAAGTCCGCCGAGGCGAATTCTGATCCAATCACATTCTCCTAATGACCTCTGACCTTTCACGTTTCGCACGTATATATGAAAGCTACATGAACGCTTATCTAGGAATATATTTTTTTTCTTTTTTCCTTTTTTTTGCTAGGCGGAATCTGGATGTGATATTGTTTCAAGGTGTCCGGAGGAGTTTAGGGGTATACTGAAAAATCCTCTTCCAAATTTTTGCCTCTTAGCGAATGATCCCAGGCGTTTACTGGCATTTTTCTTGCAATTAGAAATTCACCGAGTTTCTTTGTTCTATTTCCCCCCTTTTTTTTTTTTTCTTTTTCTTTTTTTGTTTTTTTTGCTTCCTGGGAGGAGGGAATATGATGAATTTATGAATGACGCCACGATTAATCTAGACTCTACACATGTAGCTAGTTACCTCGATGGGGCAAATGAAAACATTTCAGCTACCCCGTACTCCGTATACACGGAAGAATGCGCGCACCGCATTACGGAATGTGTCTCGGTCTCCTCTTCTCTGGTGGCTGTTATGGCGCGCCTTGAATGACATCATGGCCACAGAACAATCCGCCTGCCAGCCTAAATAAGCTTTGCCTGGAGCGGAAGTTTAACTTCGTAGCAAAACCCGCCATTCTGTGCAACGCAACCTCTGGGCGAAATACGGCTGCAACAATCCTCCTCAACAGCCGGCTGTTTTGCAAATCGTTGGCTCCTTGCGATATTTAGCAATGCTGTCGTAATCGTCCCCTTCGTTTGGAGTATGGAAGGTAGCGTCGGGGGTTCTGAGGGCACGGAGTTGCTAGGCGCCTTGTCTAGGCCTTTGTCCCTAAAAAAAGAAGTGCGTGTCTTCCGCCCCACGGGGTCAGGCCTGATAGCTTATCCGTGCTAATAATAGCTTCCCAGATATTAATATATATGGAACGAGTACGAAGTAAAGAAGCCCCTTTTATGGTGCAATATCAAGCTTCTATCAACCTTGCTCCGCTAGGCCGTTGCACATGTTCCCCCCGTGAAGATAGCACTCGATCAGCCTTCATTGCATTGGCCCATGCCATGGTCTTCAGGATGGCATGTATTTGTAACTGCTCGCGCCTAGCTCGTAAAAAGAGGAGAGAAGAAAGAAAATGCCCATAAGAACCTTAAGAAGAAGGAGAAAAAAAAAATTGAAGCAAGCCAGACCATTCCAAATTATCCTTCGTATTCACCACAGAGCCCGGCAAAGACGGATTTAAAACACACAGTGCACACATAGACCAGCCATTCAAAGAAACCTAGCCTCTACTCCATATAGCAAAGAAGAAAGTCACTAACGCCTAAATCGCGCCAACATGCCTCGGGAGGAGTGGACCAGTGATGACACGGCGACGAACAGATGGAATCCAGCGGAGCTGTATAAGACATCATGGAAGACATTATGGAAAATGGTAGAACCGTAAAACGCCTCGCTATGCTGATGGGGACATTATACACGAGCCAGGACAAAACTGAGCTAGACATGGACAGATCCGTAAAATACACTTAATTGTATCACCGATATAGAGCGGATGGCGGAGCAAGGAACAAGGACCCTTTTCTTTTCTTTTTTTTTTTTTTTTAGGGGTGAGATTTTCATCCGTTGTCACCGGCGTCTTCTTCAACCTTGCTTTCATCCCAGTTGTCGTTTTCAAACGCCGCAAGCATTTCGCGTTCCAGCTCGTCTTCGTCGTCCTCTTCGTCGCCTGCAGCCGGATCGACCATGGCGCTATCTTTTCGAACGTCCGCATTAGCACCGGAGCCAGTGTCACCCGCGATTGCCTGTTCTTGAGCTTTGTCGCTTAGCAGCTCAGATGAAGTGTCAACCGGAGGTGGCCCTGGATGTTCAATCGAGGATGCATTGGAAACCTCTTTCAGCCCCGTCGTTCTTTCATGAGATCGCTTAATCTTTTGAGACAATCGTAAGCCAGCAGGTTCTCCCGGAGCACGTTCAGTAGCGCCGCGATATTCTCCACCACTCTCGTCACTTTCAAGATCGCGTTTTCGTTTTCTATCAGCGCGTGACATACTTGTACCTTGAAGCATGGAGGCGTCACTGTCGCTTTCGCTCTCTTCGTTATCACTCCCCAAAAATTCCTTGAGCTCGTCGTGCACTTCTGCCTGCTCCTCAGCGTCGTATCCGATTAGGGAATGCGAATCAAGTCCAGTTGAAAGTAATATTTCCTCATCTGCATTTTCTAGTTCATCGTTTTGGCTTCTTCCCTTCGAGAAATCACTTTCGTCATCATCCGCCGAGGTGGTATCTTCTTCGGAGGATGATAGATAGCCGGCATCATCCAATTCCTTTGCATCGTTTGGTGAAGTTCCTGGCAAGCTGATCGGCTCGCCACGATCGTCCGGGTGCACCGGTACTAGGTATGGCTCTTCATCAAGCCGTTTCCATTGGGTTAGCGAGTCTAGCAGCCACTGGACTGTGACTATTTTGATTTTAGGATATCTCGTCGCTTCTCGAACCTTCGCTGTGCGGTTTCTGCCAGCAACCAGGTGCGTGGTTCTTGAATCAATCTTTTGTGTGATGATTGCGCCAAAGCTCTTCGCCCATAGCGATATCTCCGCATTTTGGGTGTCTTTATCGAGGGGAATGACACCAGAGAACACCACCACCACGGCCTCAAGGATTCTTCGCTTGATCTGGGGCATGATGATCTTGATGTCTGGGACGATACGGAGATCAACATCCTTATCTTTCGGGTGAACACGTTCGCCTCTCAAGGCCGAGACTCGACCTCCGAGAGCTAAAGATCGCTTCCGATCGTACTCGTCGAAGAAGCGACGATGTATTAATTTAAGTCTCTCCTCTAATTGGTAAAGCTCAGCATCGTTATCCTCCAGGAGGTGATGGCGATGTCTCATCGAATCTTGCGAGTCATCGCTAGACGAATCTCCGTTCTCTGCAGCTTGAAGTTCAGCAGCCTCATCTTCTGCATCGAGCTGTTTCTGCTTTTGCAATAAAGGGCGTTCTTCAACCTGATGAGCAATTGCCTCTTCTTGCTGATGTGCTTGCTCCTGGAGCAGGACGGGATTGTCCCCGCCCCCCATAGTAACGAGCTGTTCCAGTGCTGAGACCTCTTCCTTTGGCTTCTCGTCCACATCTATGGCGCTAGAACCGTTCATTTCGGGTTTAGGTTCCACTTCAGAACGAACGTCCGACTGCCTTTTGGCCTTGGCGCGTGCTTTGGACATGGGCTTGAATTCCTGCTTCTTCGGGAGAAAACTGGAGTTGATATCGCCGATTCCAACGAAGAAGTCATAGGGATGAACTCTGATAAGATTGTCGCTCCAGTTCCATACATCTCCGCGGTCGTCGATAATGACGACCATTTTGGTATCGACAGGGAACAATCGCTGTAGATTCTTCGCCGTTAGGCTCCCACTCTCATCGCGACTCAGAATCCTATCTCCGAATATCTTCCTATCAGGATCCACAATATTGGCGATGTTTTGAGCGTAAGCTCGGGTACCCATTGTGTAGATATGAAGCTCATAAAGGCTCGAAATGCTCCTCAGGAAATCCTCCAATCCAGGCCGTAATTTGATGTAATACCAGCATCCCCTCATTCCTGGACCATCATCAACAAGTTGGAATGCTCGCACATCCTTCACAGCCTCATGATTTGGATTGGTCTTATCCTCTTGCCATTCCGCTACCGTTGGGTCAACCGTCGCGTGGATTATAGTTTGATCCAGGTCGACGACAAGTGATAGCTTTCTAGACGAGAGGAGGCGGCGTTTGGCATCTTCTTCGACCCGAGTCGCTTCGTCTTTGCTAACGGTGAGCGAAGCATTGTCGTGAACCATTCGAATCGGAGCTCGCGATGAGTCGAGCACTTCAGTGTTGTAATTGAACCTGTTATCCCAGAAATCAACCCGTCAGCAAGGCCCATAGAAAACACCCAAAAGGCGGAAAACAATCCACATGGAGGGGGGAAGTCATACACAGTCATATCCTTCCCGCAGTTCGCGCACATTCCACCAAACTGTACATCATGAGAACAAGGCTCATCAATTTCCGCAATATCGATTCTGCACGGAGGGGAAAATCCCAGACTCCCGACGTCAGCGCATCTAGACTCCACAACTGACGAAGCCATAAAGAAAGAAAAGAAAAGAACAACTCCATTCTTCGTGCGACAGGGCATCCACTTACGGCCTCTCAATCACCTGTCCCTCCGTTATTTTCCACTCCAACAACGTCCCATCCACTGAACTCTCAAACTTCGTCGGAAACTTCCTCACCACATCACGCTTATTCCCCAGTCCATCGCCCTCTGTCACCGTGGTATGATAGTAATACGCGAACAGCGCATCGCCCTGATTGACATTGTCGCCCCGTTGGCGTAGGAGCTCGGTGACGGTGATTGGATAGTAGAGACTAGATGATAGTTTCAATAGCATCCCTTCAAACCAATTGAGCGGCCTATACCGGCGCCCATAATCTGTGTTTCGTAAAAAAAAAAAAAGAAAAGAAAAAAAGAAAGGAACAAGAAACAAGGAGAAGAAAAGGAATGGGTTACTCGAAATGAATATATATCAAAGGACTGGAGGTAGGGAGGAAGTGGTAGGAAAATGGCGCAAGACTGCTTCAAGGTATTGTATCCTTTTTTTATTTGCTCGATTGTTTTGGCGCGGGGAGTGGGTGGGAGGTTGTTTTGCAAGTGGTCACGGAGAGGTAGAATTTTGTGAATGTAAAAAACAGGGTGAAGGTGAGCAGTGTGTGAAGAGAGTCTGTGAATACTGCTATTGCACCTGAGCAAGTGAGATGATGAGCGGCCAATTGTACCTTATTGATGCAGGTGATTCTTTGTGACCTTTGTGAACAACAGACAAGCTCGTCTTGCCGTTGATGTTTGGAGAAAGCTGCAGCAACCACCCATCATGCTGGTGCTAAGGTTTCAACTAGCAACTTATATTACAGTAATTTTCCATCTGTTGGCCCAGTCTCTAAGCAGAATCTCCGCGCAATCCTGTATTAACTAGTACGGTAATCTATATCTTGGCAGCTGACATCACGTCAGATGGTCTGTTCTCCGCGGCCCAGCGATTTGTGGTGGTGAATCAGCGCTTGCTCGAAGCATCACGGCAAATCAACAGTGATGCATGTGTGTAGGCTGGGGATCACAGAGACATATTATGTAGACATTTAGTGATATCACTAATTATGCAGACTAACTACTATATCATTATAACAAAGGATGTTCATAACTAAAACCCCCCTCCCGAAAGCAAAGCATATCTGCCTAGGATGTGTAGCCAGGCCCTAGGAATAATCTCATAACAATCTGGGGGAGACAGGCAAAAAAAAAAAAAAATAAATAAAAAATTTAAAAAAAAAAAAAGGAAAAAAAACCATCGGAAGCTGTATACAGAGACCTTAATAAGGGTATTCAGCCGTCAATTGTGCAAGCATGAAACATGACTGAACTCTTCTGCTCTTCCACCTTTCCATACCAATCGAACCTCGGTTGAACTTAGTTCCCGGCTTTGGCAAGGCCAACGAGATTGTTGCCCAAGTCATACATGGTATAGAATCGTCTCAAGAAAGCGTCTCCAAGAATGGCAAGAGGGCCCACGGGCTCAGGGAAGTCCATGCCCATGAAGCTGCTGATGCAAGAGCCTTGGACCTCGAGGATGTAATCATATGGTCCGATAGTGAAGTTGTGGCCGGATAGAGTAAAGGTGAGGTCTGGAAGCGATGGGCGCTTGTTGCAGTCTACGGTGTATTGACCATTCCAGGATTTCTTGGCACCAATTTCTCTGTTACTATAGATTGTACGGTTAGTCTCTGTGGAAAAACCAAGGATACAAGGAAGATATGACTTACAGGAGCTCGGCAAGAGTGGATGGCAGGGCAATGAGAGAAGTACCGGTATCGAGGATGATACCAGTGTCTTCGAGTTCAGCACGCTCGTTGCCAAAGGCGATAGCATCAAAATCAACTTCCCAGTAGGCCTTGCGGCGGAGGGGAATCTTGATCATCTCACCGGAGAACAAACTGCTATCGACACCTCCAAAAGTAGCATACGAGTCATCACCCTCCTTGTTCGTGTCGCCAAGGTAGAAGCCAAAGACTGGCTCGTCAATCAACCCTTCGTTGATCATGTTATAGAAGGGTGGAACAATCTTGTTAACGGAGATTGTGTCATAACCTAGACCAAGAATGCCATCGAAGCGGCCAAAGGCGAAAGCAAGGCCTGGCTCGTTGGTGGCTTCGGCAAAATCTTGTCCCTCGATGGTCAGGTCACCGATACGGAGTGTATCCTGTGAAACAAAACCAGAAAGGCTGCCTGAGCCATAGCGAATAGCGAACTCTGTTCCGTTCTTCTTATAGGTCGAAGAAGCCGATGAATCGTACTTGTTGTGGAGGTAGCAGGCGATGGAACCACACTCCGAAGATGGAACCCAGAGATTTGAGCTTCCTGTGTCAAGAACGACTTTGAAATTCTGGGGAGGATTGCCTATGGAGATCTCGGAGAAATCTGAGACGAAGTTAGTAAACACCGGTTAATCGATACTTTTTGACCGTTCAGACAGGAACGTACACTGGGCGTTCAGGAAATTATCGACCAAAACGTTATGGCCGCCAGTTGTACTGTACTCATCTGACAGGACTGTTTGTTGCTGCGACGATGGTAGAGATCCGAAGTACTTCTGGCCGAGCGCCCTGACGTGGGTTTCGATGTCGCCATATTCCTGGCTTCGATTAGCAGCAGTTCATCGAGTAAACGAGAGTGTTTTTGATTCAGCAGCAGGGATGCTGGGTACGTACAAGCTGCTCTGTCAACGGAAGCTTCTTCAACTTGAGCTTGTGCACCTTTGCGGATGTGCAGCCCAACAGCACGGTGGCTGCGAGCAGGATGGAGTTCCTCATGGTCACCGAGGTGGCTGGGGTAACGAGAATCAAGGGCGGCAAACAGCTCCTAGGTCTTGAAAGAGCGTGTGCAAACTAAAATACACAACAAACAAAAAGGATCGGAGACTAATAGGAAGCGCCGTGTAGGTGCTGATGGAGATGGAGATGGGGGAGGGAGGTTAGGTGGGAGGTTGGAGCTCGACCGTTGGGGGTGGAGGACTGAGGTTGGTCTCGGATATGAAGTCAGCCAGCGACGATGACGACTGGTGGACCCGGCCGCCGTCCCCTGCCCGGATCTGTCACGTGATACTGCGCGTCTTGGCGCCTCTTCGAGACCTTCGATGATGACATCGCGACCGAATTTGAGAGCAACGCGAGACTGAGAATCTGGGGAAGGAATTCGCATCATCGCAATAGTATAGTGTAGATAACCATATGCGATGTTAAAGACTACCGAGGCGAATACGCGCATATGGACATCCGGCTGTTGAAGGGGCGTCGGAATATCACTGGTGAGACTCGATCCAGGAACACGTTCCAGGGTCAGTGCCCCCTGTTAAGTCCTGTGAGTGTAACTCAGGCGTCATGAGACTCCACATGTTACATTAGGCACCAGATACGGAGTACGGAGTACTCCGTACTGGAGGAGCCTTTCCAACCACCTCTTTGAACCCCGTAAGTCTGAGGACAAAACCACGAGGATAAAGGCACACCGCAGGGATTCAAAGAAATGTGCTCCGTATGAAGTACAGGTGGACATTTAACTACTTGAAAAATTACGGACTCTTTTTGATACCATTTGAAAACAGCCCGGATAAGCCCTGTTGTTACATGCAAAAATGACTAACTAGCTTCATTCCTGATTCGCAGCAACGTAAAACAAGTAAGCCCGGTTGAACAGTTGAAAATGAGGCGTATTTGCAAGGTCCTCAGCGATAGAAATCAAATCTATGATAGGTTTAGCACGAGAAATGGTTCACTTGGTTAGCTCAGGTAGAAACTTACTTGTCTGCATCCTGTCCACTCTTGACCTGGCTTGAGTAGGCGTCCTCAAGATCGGATTGGATGATGTTGTATCGATTCTTCCGGACAGCACGCAAGCCAGCCTCTTGCATGATAGCGGCGATCACAGCGCCCGATAAGGGATCGTTGCGGACAATCAGCGAATCCAAATCTACTTCTGGCGACAGCGACATCTTCGAGGCAATCGTGGTGAAAATTAGACGACGCTCGCGCCGATCGCGGAGGGAAGGAAACTCAATTTTCCTGTCTAAACGACCTGGTCGAAGTAAAGCAGGGTCCAAGGTGTCTGCTCGATTTGTGGCCATGATCACCTTGACGTTGCTGGTCTGATCGAAGCCGTCCATCTGGTTGAGAAGCTCAAGCAAAATACGCTGGACTTCACGATCGGCTCCAGTTTGGGCATCGAAACGTTTAGTGGCGATGGCGTCAATTTCGTCAATAAAAATGATAGCGGGTGAGTTCTCTCGCGCCATGCGGAAAACGTCTCGAACCATACGAGGTCCTTCACCAAGATATTTCTGCACAAACTCTGATCCGACGACGCGGATAAAATTGGCAGTTGTGCTATTCGCAACAGCCTTTACCAACATGGTTTTGCCCGTTCCAGGAGGACCATAGAGAAGCACACCTCGAGGTGGGTCGATTCCTAGTGAAACGGATTGTTTAGTAACAATGCGCTTTCGAAAATATTGTCCTGGAAAGTATCACATACCGATTTGTTTGTACAAATCGAAATGCGTTAAAGGCAGTTCAACGGCCTCTCTAATTTCCTGCTTTTGCATATCCAACCCTCCAACATCCGCGTACGTAACATCCGGCTTCTCATGTGCACCCAGCATGGCAATAGACGAGTCGGCTTCTGGGGGAAGGATGTCAACAAGGGCATTAGAATGACGGTGTAAGGCGACGGAGGACGACGGTTTTAGCTTCTCGCGGTCGAGGGTTGAGAGAATTCGAACGACATAATTAGACCCTGTTGAAGACTGTACGATACCGGTACTAAAAAAGAAAAAGGTAAAAAAGGATATTAGATACGTTGCTCAGACCAGGAAATTTCCTTAAGCTTTTACAGGTCCCCTTACTTCTGATCGATGGCTTCCATGAACTGTCCGATCACCAAAGGAACGCTTTGTATTCTCTTGATCTCCTCCTGCGCTCTGACGAGCTCTCGCTTAAGACTCCTAGAATAGAGTCAGTAAACCCGCTTTCGATACAGGTCGTCATTTTGGATTTCAAATTACCTTTGCTCATCCTTGATGTACTCCTCCTGTAGATTTATGTACCTTAAGACCATGTCAGTGTCGCCTCTTTTCGAATATGATAAACATCCTGCCGGAACGTACTCCAAATGCCGCTGTAATCTCTTTAGCGTGGTGTATTCATCAGCGTCGTCTGTTCCCCAACCTTCCAGGGGCTCAATATCGGGAATCGCTTCCGCTGGGGTAGCTTTGAGCGGAGGAGCAAGAACATTGACCGGTGTTTCGACGATGGCGTCGCCCATGGTGTTTAACAAACTGGGGCTGGAGAAGGATATATCAGGTTCAGACACGCAGCTTTGATCAGGGGATCAGCTATCTTTTCAGGAAATTTAAAATGGAGATCCAGTTCAACGACAAGAGAAATCTCAGCAAGGGCTGCTTCAGGCTGGCTCTGCTGGTTTGGTCGATGAGCTCTTGACCAGCAATCCTACCAAGCCGCAGGCGACCTTGCTTAGTCAACAAGGCGCCGTTGGCTTGGGTTAACTAGTTGCTTTTCTCTTGGCGTTTTGGCCCATCCCCCAAGCCTGACATTATCGACATCGTGGGGCATGGGCCGCAGAAGTCAGGAGATTGTTGGGTTTGCAAGGCTTGTGGATATCCAGCTGGAAGGGATCAGCACTCATTTTAAATACCGAAGGAGCATTGAAAGACTGGACGTCTTTATTCATGCCATTCTGTCTCGAATACTCCTGATGCACACACGCACGAAAGTGGTTACCAATACTCTACACAAGCACAGGACGCCCAAGCCTAAAATAATTCAGATACAACGATCGACTCTAACTCCTCCATACAGCAGCATAGGCCCATCCATGTCCTTGGGGACTGATTAATACGCATTACAAACAACGTGGCATCCTTTCAAGCTCTTGACACGGTGTAATCATCAGCCCTTTGCCATTGGAGCCGAAGTCTGGGAACTTGGATCGATCCCGAGCCGTTCTCGCGTCAAATTCCGGGACGAGTTGATGAAGCCAATTTTCGGTTCTCCCACCCTATGCCGGCCCTTGGAAATGATTGCATCACAAGAGCTGAAATGGATCTCCCCCGTCAAGCCATGTTTGTCACTTCTATCGTATTCAATGATGAACAACCCTGTAACGGTAGCGAGCCTCACATGGCAGTGACGTACAAAAATTTTCGCGTAAGAATCAGGTATCTCTCAGGGGCGGAAAAAAAAGCCGAATACATAAAATAAGTCAAAAATAACGATTAAAAAAAAGCTAAAAGTCGCTGCGGTTTCAAGCTCGTCCATACGAATTTTGGGACGGGTTAAACTTCGTCCCAGCACATTGTCTCTCCTGGTATCAGGGTTCAAGAAAGGTGTCGGGATGTAAAAAGGCACCATTGTTACCAAGACCTTGATAACGGCCAGAATGGACTAGACAATCTAATAGCCTTAATATGACGGGGAAAAAAAAGGGGTTTAATGGGGTTTTAATAAATCTGTAAAAGTGTCAGCTGAATCAGTTTTAGGATGATCAAGCAGAGGGCTCTGAGTTTGATGATCATGACGACGTGCACGGAACCTCGTTGCTCCATCCGGATCTGACAAATTGAATCAATGAGGATTCGACATAGATTGGCCATGGCATGTGTGACAGGGTCAAAGACATCCGCATCCAGGTGGGATTTCCTTTTACAGGGATGGGCGATAATAATAATACTCAAAGGAGCAGATCGGGTAAGATCTCCAGTTTTTGAGAACGAAAAAGAGACAGAGACCATGGAAAGGGAAACGGAGTCTGGTCCTGACCTAGAAAGTGTATGTATGACTGACCCTTCAGGCTAACGGGGCAAGACAAGACAGTCGAGAGGACCTTATATATTACCTGTGCGCTCCCCGCCTTCCTTTCTTCCTCTTTTTTTTTTTTCTTCTTTTCTTCTCTTTTCCTTTTGTTTTCCTTCCCCCCTTCCCTCCCCTCTGCCGTCGACTCACCATTGCGTCCCTCCAGGTAAAACGCGAATAGTTCGGCTGTGTGCTACTTGCATATGGTTCTTCTTGTCTGATGTGAGACGAATACAATCCAAAGTCCCCAAGCGCCAGCTTTTGGAACTGCTCGCTGTTCATTCCATCAGGGGGGGGGAAGGAGATTGGGATGGATTATCTTTTCTTTCGCACGGTGATTCTGGTTACGCTGACGGGATTTTCAGGCTCACCTTGCAGATTAACCGGCTGGTATCTGGTGAATCATGATTGACGCTACGGTTGCCCTCCGCTGTGTCATCTTGGTTGGCTGGACGTTCCATCCGCCAAGACACGCCGCAAGAGCTTGATGGACGCACGATTTCTGGCAGCGAAAAGAAAAGCAAAAAAATAAAATAAAAATAAAAATAATACAACACGGAACAATTTTTATTTTTCAAGGTAGGTCAACTAACCCTCGCTTTCTTGAGCAGCCTCCAGAGTCGCAGCCGTTATTTCATCGATTTTTGGGTGAATTGTCATGGACCAGGTCGAGCAGGGGAGTTTCCAGGATAACCCGCCATGTTCCTTTTTCGCTGGGGGGGGGGAAAATGGGTGTGTTGAAGCGGCGTCGGGACTATACCAGAAACGGACAAGCACGGCGATGGTCAGTCGAATCGGGTTGCGCCCGATCGGGGTCCGCAGGGCAGCGAGCGGGTTCTATTGGACGGCGCTGCGCTGTGGGCGGTGGCCGCCCTAACGCCTAGTGGGTGGCGGCCTGTGACTTGTGGTGTTTTTGCCCCCCGCAGCGCCAGAGACCGAGCGACAAAAATTTTCATTTTCTCTGACGCTGCCCCCCAAACCGCCCGCCCTCAACAAAAGTAGATGATTACGATTCTCGCTGCCCTTTCTTCACATACTTTTTACCCCGACTGCCTGACCCGATAAACCCGAGAGCTGCATCTCATTCGGCCTGGTACCTTTTGACTTTTGGAACAGGCTGTTTATCGCCGAGCTCCTCTGTAATAATTATTTTATTTTATTTTTTAATTTTTTTTAGGAATCGTTCGGGATTTCGTGGCTGCTTTCCCTTGCCCCAGCGCCCCCTATCTCACTCCACTCCCTTGGAGGCACGACATTGGCAGCTTCTGTTACCTTCGTCTGGTTGCAGGTAAGCAAAAAAGAATATTCCCGCTATACTCCGTACTTCCTTAGCAGTATTTCCCCGGATATTTTTTCCCCATACTTGTCTGGATCCCCTGTTCTCTGCACATCTGGTTCCAGTTTTTTTCGTTCGCCAAACCCGCATCAAACAAGCCATCTTGTCCTTGGGCCATCCAGCCAACCACGCTCTCTCTCGTTCTATCCGGCCCCAACACGGACTCTATTATTATCTTTATTGGTGTCTTTATTATTATTATTATTATTATTGTTACTGCTGTTGTTACTTATAATTTTGTTTGCTTTTCCGGCCATGGATGGCGCCGGCCTGCTGGCCCTACGATTGCGCGACGGCATCGCTGCTCGGCCGGACTCTGATTCCTTCCGCTATTAGCAGGTTTCCATTTCTTGCCACCCCAAAAAACCACCCTCAACTCTGCGGCTTCCCCCTATTTTTTCCCTTTTTTTTTATTTATTTTTTTTTCTTTTATCTCTTTCAACCAAATCCCGTCACTGATTAGTCAGCCCACACCACCAGCAATCATCACGTGACGTGTATTACCCAAAACAGAAGCCGGCCCGCCCCAAAATTCCCTCTTTCGTTGTTTTCGGCGCTTGGTCAGCCCTCCACTCATCCTGGGATTACCTCCACGCGGCTCAGCAGCACCACGGGAGCTCGTCCGTCCTCCTCCGGCCTCCGCTCGCGCCTCTCTCCGTCCTGTCGTCACTTCATCCAGCCGGTACCCCTTTTTTGTATGTATCCCGTTTCCACCCTCTCCTCCCGGCCCCTCCCCCCAAAATGGTTTCCTCTCCCTATTATGATCTCATCATTCGTCGCGTGGCCACAGGCAAACCACTCGCCTTCACGGCGCCAGGGTTCGTCAATGCTTGCTTCAGATGGCCCCTTACCCCCCAAGATAGTGCATTGGACCTTGTCTCTTGAACGCGTTGATCAGGCCTCTTTTCCCGCGCGACACCCACATGATCATCAACCTGATTTTCCTGTGTCTGATTGGGATGATGTTGACTAACCAGAACGCGTCACAATGACAGGCGAATGGGTATTCCATAATTTCACGACATGAATGCCTGGCTCAATGACCCTGCGACAGCGAGCATCCAGAACGACAATGGCTCCTTCAGCAATGCGACCATCGATCCATCGATGGCCTTCCTCCAGTCCCCTAATACCTCCGACCCCAGCCAGTTCCAGCGCATGTTCAATGGCGCGACAAGAAACATGTCTCCAGGCTTCCATAATCCCAACCCAGTGATTCCGTCTAAAAGGGCTCGCCCCGACGACGGCTTCTCCATGTCCCCAAGACAGGCTCCTGGCGCCCTTCCTGGCTCCCGCTCGCAAACACCCCATCAGGCGCCTTTCCCCGGTTACCCCGATCCCGTCAACGGCACGCCGCAATTTGCGCAACAGCCTGCGCCTACCCCTTACCAACATTTCCAGCCAGGTTCTAACAATCCGAGTCCATCTCCTATTCTCCAAGACTTTGACCCACAGATCTCTCAGAGAGTGCAGACGGCATCTCCAAGTCCCTTTTCGCCCGCTGGAGTCCACGTTGCCTCACAGATATCACCCACACACTCAGATCACGGAAGTCGCGTGAACACCCCGCAAACCAACACCTTCGGACAAACTCAGCCGTACGTGCAGCCATCTGGACCACAATACTCCCCGACAGCCCCAATAAGCTCCTCCGGCGCCCATCCCGCAATGCAGGCGCAATACGCTCAGAACAACCCGGCAATGATGCAAAACTATTCGGCCCAACAGATCGCTTCACAGCAACGGATGTATCAAATGCAGATTCAGAATCAAGCCCTGCAGTTTCAATCTCCCAATGCGCCAGCGGCCGGAAGGCCCATGGTGGGTGGGGTTAATGCGATAAACAATCCTCAAGCCGCTGCGATGAGGCACTTGCACCAGAGTATGGCGAAGCCCTCTAACCCAGAGAGTTTTCTGCGCGGACTGCAGAGGTTTATGATGGCCCGAGGACAACAGCTTGACCTTAATCCTATTGTGAGCGGACGACCAATTCATCTGATGCAGCTCTACGCTGCCGTAATGAGGCTTGGTGGGTCGAAAAAACTCACCGCGATGAACGGCTGGCCAACGCTCGCACAGCAATTACAGTTTCCCGCGATGCAGTATCCAACAGCAGCGCAGGAAATTCGAGATGTGTATCTTCGAAACCTGGCTGCTTACGAACAAGTCTGGCTGAGTTCCCAACAAAAACACGTAGATCCAGCACAAATGGGTATCCAGCGTCCCGGTGATCCTTCGACCATTCCACAACCGATGGCACCCAACAAGACGATGCCTCAATCCTTTGACCTTCCACCGCAACTCCAGGCAGTTACCCAACCGTCCTTGTCACAACCAAATAACGTTCATTCAATGCCTGTCAACGGTTTCTCCATGGCATCTCAAGGAAAGCCAATTCCAAAGCAACAGCGGCCCCTGGGCCATCAGCATCGATCTAGTCTTTCTCGGCCACCCGAGGCAGCGTCACCTAACGGGCAAATGGCCCAATTTCCTCCGGACGTCTCGGTGTCAGGTGAAAAGCAATCATCTCCTATTTCAGCCAGGAAACCAGGAGTGGATTTTGTATCATATCGCCAACCTCTAGAGGACCCTTTCAAACCAACCATTTTACCGGAGAGTGCTTTCCATGGCCCTATTGTAATTGATGAAGCTTTCCAGATTGGAGAAGAGGTCATGCGACTCAAACCCACCGTACCTACTTTTGGGGAACTTGGGGTAATCGATATTCACGCCCTTACTATGAGCATCAAGTCAGGCATCCATGCAGAAATGCGAGTGGCGTTGGATACCTTGGCGCAGATTTCGTCTGAGCCTGCAGTACAGTTGTCCCTAGATAACTGCGAGGACTTAGTGGAAACATTGGTGGACTGCGCCGAGGATCAGCTCGACCTTCTCGCGGACAATGCTGCAGAGGTGTCCGATGTTATGCTTCTTCCTTCTTACGAGGAGATCGTTCGCGGATGCAGACAAGAGATGGAAATGCTGCTTGACATTCCAGAGTTTGGAAGCCTGGATTACGAGCTTGACCGTGCAGTAGACCGGTTAATATGCATCACGACACTCCTGAGGAATTTCTCCTTTGCCGAGTCGAATTTCAGCTTGCTCTCAATGCCTCATGTCGTCAAGTTCATGGCAACGGTCGTACGATACTTAGGCACGAGGAATATGCTGCTACGAACACATCAAAATACCCTTGACTTCATGAAAGACGCTGTCATCTATCTGAGCAACATAGCTCATACCATACATCTTCCTGGAAAAGAAGAAGCGCTATCTCTTTTACATTTTCTACTCTCCTTTGCTCCAACTCCCCCTTCAATGGGACCCGATGGAATCATGTTTGCCCCATACGACCCAAGCATACATAGGTATCTGCCGGCTGCTGTGGATACACTTGCAAAGCTTCTTGCGCGGGATGATCCCAACCGGATGTACTTGAAATCCATCTTCTCCCAAGAGAACCCATTGTCCCCGCCGAACGATCTCCTGACGAGGAGTTTTGCGCTGTCTATTGCCCCAATACCCGAGCAAACTAAGGGAAACGTCATTGCACTAGCGGATGTTAGAAAGCCATTCCTGATGCAGGGACTACTCTCTGCCGAAATTCTAGCGGGCATAGCAGACAATGAGCTTGCCTGTGCGTGGTTCAGATCTGCCGATGGATTTGCGGCTAACTTGCTGCGGTTGGCTTGTGTGCTTAGTGCTGATCGCAACCCACCTGGACCACAGCGGCACGGCGCAGCTGCTCGTGCAGCAGAGGCTGATCTATATTGGCACAGCACAATCAGCAATCGTGCGCTAACAGTACTAAGTCAGTTGGCTGAGAAGTCAAACAAGTCCAATGGGGCATCAAAACTTCCTCTGGGTATATTTCCTAAAAAGGAGAATCTTCTGGGTGCTCTTCTTACTCCGAATGTTGATCCAAATGTCATTCGCCAAATGTGTGAATATGCAGGCTTGGGTGGTTGAATGATAGTTTTTCTTCTTCTTTGATTTCTTCTTTTCCTCTTTTCCTCTTTTCCTTTTTTTTTCTTTTTCCTTTCTTTTCCTTTCCTCCTTTTGCTCCTTGTCTATTATTTACATTTCCTTTTTCTTGTTTTCATGTAATGAGAAATCACTTGCATTGACCCAGGTGTTCCTTTTGGGAGGGGTTTCGAATTGATATTTGGCGGAAAGTGAAATGATAGAAAAAGGCCCTATTGATTGGTGCTCATCTTCCTCCATTTCCTTGTTCTCTTCTCCCACGGGCTGTTTTCTGAACACCCACCCAGCCAGTATAGAGTATAGGATAAGGTTCGCACCCTCCATTGTATTCCTGAGCAGAGTCGGAAATTGAATCTATTCCAAAGGTAAAGTGTATGACTCCCAAGAATGCACTCAGTTTGCCTGGCGTGTTTGCCACACGACTCGCTAAGATAATCCTGCAGCTGATTAAAATGCCCTATAAAGGCCAAGTTACATAGTGAGTCATCGTGCCGCTGTGTAGATTGAAGCCAAAGGGTATCACTTAATACCCACCAAAATGAATAATCTCTCCTCCCATCTTTCATACATGTGTGCCCATCTACCTGATCTATTTGGCTGGCTGGAGAGAAAGTGTTGAGCTGATGGCGGCTACGTGCACACCGCTGTCGTGTGCCTTCCAGGCCAGCCTGATGTTCTGAAGTCTATCACTGAACTCAAAGGCCCTGCAAGCCCCGAAGCAACAGGGACAAAAGTCAAATCATAGCCCAGCGCCTTAAGGATCCTCTGCGGGCGGCGCGATTACCCATCCCTTCCTGGCGGCCCAGCTAAGTGCCTGTCTTGGAACCGGTTAGCGTTGGGAAAACGCTTGTTTCTTCTGTCAACGATCAGGTTGCATCAAAGTGATGCAACATTTACAATGGCTCGAGGCTCCAATGCAAGATATGAAACTCCCAGTTGTTTTGGGATCATACTTCCTCTTGATAAATCAAAGGAAAAGAAAACCTCGCGATGCTTTTACATATCTCTATCTACAGGGAAACATTAAAAACACCTCCAATCATGGATCCTTTTGCTGTCATAACAATTGTTCTTGCTTTTTTCGCTGTGATAACCTGCTTCAAGATCACTTTAACATTTGAGCTGAAATTTGAGGAATTCGTGGTCTCTGGGCGGCTGTTGTGGAATGGCCGATCGGATCCGGACTGAGTAGAGGCCGAAAACAGACACGGGGCCTGTTGCTATATGGGTAGTGCTTCAGGAAGAGGTCGGCTTAAGCAAGCAGTGAAGAGTTGCTACCGCCCACGGGGATTTGATCCAAAGCCATCCAGCACGTGGAAGAGGCAGTGCAAGAGCCAGAGAGTATCGCAAGTCACGAATACCAACGTTGTTAAGTCGACACTGTTTTGAAAGACCAGTTGCCGGGATTGATATACCGGGATCTGCGGGTGGAATGCTTTCCTCCGCTGTGCTGGCGCAATGTCCGATGAAGGGGGGATGGGTGCCAATCTTGCATACCTTACAGGCATCTGTGTGCCCGGATGGATGTGCGCGCGATGGATTCAAGGGCAGCAAGTCGTTTTTACTATGCCATGGTTCTGATGATTGTTTTAGCATGAACTTTTTATTTTGATTTATGTGAACCGGGTATCCATGTACAGTTAAGGGGCTGGTTGCTCCAAGCAGGGATGGTTCTTAAGGAAGGCGTTAGCATTAGTTGGTGAACACTGCTGGGAATTGACCTTCAGGGGCCTTCATCTCTTGATCGGTCCCAATAGAAGCAAAATTTTGTACCTCACATATTTTCTTTACGCCACAAAGCTGGCATCACTACTGATACCCTGATAAATAAAGGCATGCTGTAGAACATTGCTTTCAATAGGGATAGTTCAACTGGAAAGACCAGCATGGTTGCGATATCACTGACGTCTTTCGTAATACACATTCCTACCTGACCCAGAGTAGATACATACATATACAAAATGTGGAGAGTCGATGGAAAACAAACCACGCAAGAATACAAAAGGTCAAAACCCCCATTCCAGACAAGACGAGATAGGAAACATAGAGGAAGGGAAAGAAAAGGGAAAAACAACAGGCGGGAAATTGAGTAACCCACAGAAATGCAGCAACGCCTTGCCAAATGAGATTCGAAAGGTCCAAATTAGAAAACACAGGTTTCCCTCTTAGCGTTCAAAAAGTGGAAAATGTAACTTTTTTTTGTGTAACGGGGTTTATTCCTTGAGATGAAAGCAAGGAGCATCATTTTTCTTTCCTCTCGAGCGACCTGGATAGGTAGGGGCTCTATGTTTTCTCTTAAAATTTGCGGTCTAGGAGAAATTGCTGTATTTCTGGTTTTCGCCAGCCCTAAATGTGCAGAGAAAACAAAAATCAAAATTAGCTACTGACCTAGGAGGGGGGCTTTTCTTCGAAATTTTTGTTTTAAACGGGCTTTTGCATACCTTTACAATTACGTGCCCATTCAGCCGATTGATGGTTACATCCGACGGGTTCTTCTCCATTCCCAAAGCTTTTATCAAATCTTCCCGTAGAGCATCAACGTCGCCTTCAGTCTTTTGCAGCTTGGTCTCTTGCCTTGTTCCTCCGGCCTTCGTAACGAGATATATGGGTAGTTGGTTCGAAGGGGTACGACGGATGAAATAGGGGAGATTTGTGAGGGGGAGGACAGGTCGTGGCGCGGCTGCTTCGGTGGGTAAGCGTTCTGATTTGGTGCTACCTTGAAGTGTGGATTTTGATTTTGAGAAGGGTTTCGGGATGCGCGTCGTTATGGAGCGAGATTGATGAGTTTGAAAGGAGAGGAGAGAGGATGATCGTGCTCGTGCTGCTGAGATAGATATGTTAGTTCTCAATTGCATGCGCATATGGTTTATTGATTGAGGTTAATATTCGGGGGAGGAACGTTGGAGAAGGGCAAAAAAAAAAAAGGGCAAAAAAATAAGCGTGAGCAGGGAACTCACAAGACCGGATTGACGATGAGTGGGTGTGAAACTGTGAGAATTGCGCTCTAGAACACTGACAAGAGGAGAGAAGTGACCCAGATCGAGCATGTAGCGAGGATATGGAGGATGTTCTGCGCAATGGCGACGACAGGGTCGACGAGAACACGGAAGCCATGGCTGTTTTGGGGGAATGAAAACCAAGTAATCAACTGGCGGATTAGATATTATGGCAATTGGGTATCACGTAGGGTGCGTGCCGTTCCCGGGTTGTCGCTGAGGGTGTGAGCCTTTCTGGATCCCCGGCTGCCGAGCAAGCTGCTGCTGGTGGATTCACGTCGAGCACACTGGACTTGTCCTGGCAGCTCGCAGTTCTCGGTCTCGCACGATTTCTTCCTGCTTTTTGCGGTGGAGGTTCAGACGATGCCGGGGCTAGGCCGGACCGGGACTAGCGTGGCCGGCCGCCCACTCACATTTTTTTTGAACTTCACGCAACCCACACAAGAACGACGCAGAAGTCGAAGCAAGAGTCGGCTAGGGTCAAGCATCCAGCAGCACGCTCGAATTCAGCCCGTCCTCCCACCCTCGACGACCTCCCTTCCCCCACCCCGGCTCGTTGCCATCTAGCTTCGCAATCATGGCGGACAACGCACCTCCGTCGGCTGACGCCCTGCTCAAGGGCGCAGCTTCACACTCTGCGAAGACTCCCGAAGAGATCATCAAGGAATACGACCTTCTGCCGAAATTAATACCCTACCTCGATCGCCACCTTGTGTTCCCCTTGCTCGAATTCGCATCCGGCCAGGACGAAACCCAGGAATCCATAGACGAGATCACGAAGTCAAAATATGAGCTGCTCAAGCAGACCAACATGACCGATTATGTCGCGAACTTGTGGCAGGAGATCAACCACTCCGACACCATCCCCGAGGAATTCGTGAAGAAGCGCGAGGAAGTGGTGCAAAGACTTCAGCAGTATGTCGAGGACAGCAGCAAGATCACAGAACTATTGCAGGATGACAACGTGGTGGGCAATCTTCGGAGCGATAAGGTTGCCAACTTGAAGTTCCTCGAGGAGCAGCACGGTGCGACAGTGGACATGGTTAACACCCTCTATGACTACGGTCGGTTCCAATACAGCTGTGGAAGCTACGGAAACGCTGCCGAGCTCCTCTATCAGTTCCGCGTCCTCTCAACGGACAATGACAAGGTCGCATCTGCGACATGGGGCAAGCTGGCTTCCGAGATTCTTACCACGAATTGGGAGGGTGCCATGGAAGAGGTTCAGAAAGTCAAGGACTCCATTGATACCCGGCTATTCAACAACCCCTTGGGTCAGCTTCAACACCGCACCTGGTTGATCCACTGGTCCCTCTTCCCGCTCTTCAACCACGAACCCGCCCGTGATGTTCTGACAGACCTTTTCTTCTCACCCGCATACATCAATACTATTCAGACATCTTGCCCTTGGATCCTCCGCTACCTCACCGCTGCCGTCATCACCAACCGTCAACGTGTCCACAAGAACTCATCTCTCTACCAGAAGCAATTGAAGGACCTAATTCGCATCGTCAGGCAAGAAGAATACGAGTACCAGGATCCCATCACTGATTTCATCAAGGCGCTTTACATCGACTTTGACTTTGAGGAGGCCCAGAAGAAGCTTGGAGAGGCTGAGGAGGTCTTGAGGAGTGATTTCTTCTTGGTCGCGGCGGCCGATGCTTTCGTTGAGTCGGCAAGACATCTGATTTCTGAGAGCTACTGCAAGATTCACCAACGTATTGATATCAAGTATGTGCCGGTTCTTTCAACTCATGCTGCGTGTTCAGCACTAATATGTGATTTTAGGGACCTCTCGACCCGTCTTGGTCTTAGCCAGGATGAGGGCGAAAAATGGATTGTCAACCTCATCCGGGATACTCGTGTAGATGCTAAGATCGATTATAAGGAAGGAACTGTGCTCATGAACCACCCACCACAATCAGTATACCAACAAGTCATCGAGAAGACGAAGGGAGGCTTTTTCAGAACTCAAGTGCTAAGGTAAGGCTGATGCCTAACATTTGCATCTCGAGATTGAAGATATGCTAACTGATACCATCAGTGCTGCCGTTGCGAAATAATCCTCTAGAAACGATTTCGTTTAAAAAGTGAGGGATATAGATAACGACTTTCACGTATAGCCGATTTTCGGTGCGGAGAAAAAGTTCGAATAATTTTCTGACGATGCTATCTCAGTTTCTCATGGTCTTTTACTTCTTTTTCCTCTTTTCCATGTTCATTCTATCTACTCACAACGAGAAATGGATGTTGGGAAACACTCGGCGGGCGTTAGATTTTTGTCTGGTGATTAATTTGATGAAGACTTTACGCTTTGAAATGCAAAAATGTCATGAGTTATTATGCTCAAGTTCTAAATCTCATAGGATTATTCGAAGCATTTTGATAGCAACTGGAGGGGCGATGCGCTATATAATTATGTGTGTATCAGGAACTGCGAGGGCCAAGTAGGATCGCCCTTTTTATGCAAGTTTTGCTTCGTTGCTGTTGTTGCCATGCGTATCGCCATCGCAAGACTCGACCCCGGCGGGGAGGGGGACGGCTGCCACCACGCACCTCGAGAGCAGGCACACACCTTGCTTGCCATTGCTAAAGTAGACGACACTTCTCTCAGGACTGCAGGATATCTAGACTGCAGCAGCTTGCAACCCCTCTTTTGTAGAAATGAGTAGGGATGCATTGATCCTGCTCGCCTAAAAAGCTGATCTGCTTCCACCACATATTTGGTGGAAGCAGACCAATTTAGGCAAGCAGGATCTGGAGTGCCTCTGAGGCATGTCATGGACAACATGGAACAGCGCGAACAAATCCTACACATGATGCATGATGAATTTGGTCATAAAGGGCAAGAAGGAACTTATTCCACCTTACAAGCTCGATACTGGTGGCAGGGAATGTATAAAGATGTGTCAGCATATATCAAACAATGTTCCAAGTGTCAACTTAGAGATTCGCAAGAAAGAATGCTCGCTCCATCAAAGACAACATATAGCACACAGGGAGAAGTGACGAGTGGAATGACTTCCACTCAGGCAAAGACAGGAAATTCGTAAGCTCCGAAAGTTGTTGTCGCCTTACGGAGTTTTATGAGTCAATATGGATAAGGCTTAGGGAACACTCACGCCTGTATCCCTTTCCGACCCACCGTCAGCAAGGGTAAGCAAGCCAGATAGCACCCGGAATAAGCCGGATCGCACAGAAATATGGAATCATGTGGCATGTGGCGAAGTTCGGAAACGCCGACCCATGCTGATAGGTGCGGGTATAAAAAAACGCAAGGTGACCGAGGTGTTGCAGCGTATCAAGGCAAGGAAATGGTGGAGTTGTGAAATCAAGGCAAAAGTGGAGCGAATATGTTTGCAAGATAGGAGAAAAGAATGCTGCTATCGATTGCGAAGGGTACTGAAAGATCTTGGGAAGATTGTCAGTTTTGTTATCTTTACAATTACCCATGCTAGGGCTTGTAAAGCAACGGAACCAAAACAATAACACTTCAAAGTATGTGCAAATGAAAGACCTCACACGTCATATGTCACTCGTGTAGCGAATGCTTAATTTGAGGCATGCGGCCCGCCCTGGCCCTTCCTCTGGGCGCTTTAATTGAAAAGACTCGGTTGACTCGATATACGAAGAATAGGATACACATCCTGCGTGTGCTGTTTTTCCACGACTTCGTCTAGTCTCTTGCTGCACTTTGCAAGCATCGACGGAAGGCAACTGGAGCCTATTGCGATATAACAAACGGGCACGGTAGGACCACAGAGGTTCGAAAATCTTTGTCCGAATTCTGCTCGAAGCGCACAGTATCTAACAAGGGACAGAAATGAACCCAACAAGCAAAAGGGCAAGAAAGGGGATATACAATATGCGCAGTGATGCCAAAAAGGAGGGGGTATGTCCAGAAAGAGATCTCCGACATTGCGCCGTTCTAAAATAATTTCAATGCCAATTCTCACCCGAAACGGAAAAGAGAGAAACTATTAAAACATGCTGGTATTTTTACCTCAAGGGCGGATTAGTAAATCCCCTTGGTAACAGAGGGGAATCTGTTGCCCTCTGAACTATGTTCAGAGGTTGTTGTGCATCGGCTGAAATAGCGATGCGCCTGAATAAGTAAAGATAGACAGGGCTGAAATGAAATTCCGAGCCATGCGTTGTAGGCAGGCCTGTGAAGTCATCATATGATCACCAGGACCGTTTCATTCTCGGATATCGATCAATTGGGTATGGTTTACCATCCCGCTCTCGAACCCGGTCGCGCTCGCGATTGTCACGTCGACCGACGTATACGGGATGATTAATGAAAGGTTCGTTGAGTTCGTCGTCTGATTTCTCGTTGATGGTCAACCCAGATGTCTGCGCCATTCTGATGGACGCCTCTTGCTCGTAGACTTGCGACATCTTCCTCAAATCATCGATTTGTGTCTGGACTCATCGTGTCAGTCCCTAGGTTATGCATCATAGACATTGTGGTTCCGGGAAAGTAGCGTACTCTCGTGAGGGGGGCTCCGGTAACAAGATAACCTTCTCGTCCCTATGATAGCTCCGGGTTAGGACGGGCAAGAGAGTGAGAGTGAAGAGCAGTAAGGTCACCAAGCTGCATACCTGGTAGCTGTACGGCCTCACTGAAGCGGTCGGGCCGAGGAAATACTGCATTTTACTGAGGACGATGTGCCGTGAGAGTCCATAGCCAGGAAGCCAATATTCTTGTGCTGGGGACATTGTTGAAAGTAGTGCGCAATAGAGACAGATAATGGACGAATATCCGATCAAGTAGACGGATATAACTGCTATCTCTCAGAAAGAAAAGCCCGAGATAGAACTGAGAAAACTCTTGAGAATGTTTTGATCAAGCGCTGTCAATCAAGACATCAAACAGTCTATTCCTTTGGTACGGAGTAGAGGGATATAAGAAACAAAGGCGAATCAAGGAGGGATCACGGTGTCTCCTGGAGACTCTCTTCAGATGTTCTGGGGCTGGACTAGGCAGAGGATGCTTGGGACGACACGGCTGTCCAGATCCAAGTACTCAGCAATGGCGGCCTGCTCTTTATATGCCGGCTCGATGTCCGGATTCCAGGTGGCCCCCCTGACCGGAAACCGACCAGCACCAGACCCAGCGACGCCGCGATGTTGACATCTGAGAAGGCGGTGACGTCGACCTCCTGCCAACCACGCGCTAAACCCGAAAGGGGTCGCGGCCAGCCGCCTTGTTTTCCAACCTTCAAAGTGAGGCTGCAACCATCGGCCTCAGTCAACCAATCCATCGCCTCTCGACCTGGGGTTGTCAGACGAACGGAGCTTCGAGTCTTACCCGAATTCGAGTAGTCTTTGCGGTTCTTTTTCTGGCTGCTTTAACTCCAGGCCTGTTTCTGCAGCTGATCGTGTTCCGCTGCAATTTGAGACCCCCCCCCCCCTCTCCCAGTTTGCAGCATGCACGACCTTGCGCGGCATGCTCGACTTCGACGCTTCCCCATATCCTCTGCTGCAGACGACACGGTCATACGAAAGCGTCAAAAGGGCTGTCGACGGGAGAGGCCCGAGTACGGCCTGTATGATTACGGGCTTCATTTCTTACATGTATGATGAGGGTCCTGCCAGGGCACGAATCTGGAAGATTTTAACCACCTCCGATTGTTGGCGGCTGGTTTCTCCATGAATCTCTTCTGCTTTCTAAGTGGTTAGCTAATTTCAACTTCAAAAGATTACTAGAATGAGGCGGTTACATCCGGGTTACCTTATTTTTCCCTCCCCCTCCCCTCCGGGAACCTGATAGCCACTCGATTCTGTGCTCTTTTCTCAGCTCTGTACTCCGTACATGTTCTGGAATCCATCCCAGCCAGGCGAGATGTTTGATGTTTCGAAAGGCAATTTTTTTGGTTCAGTGGCTCGCCCGGGAGGACAGACAAAAGGCAGCACGAGAAGATCGACATCTGGCGCCTGGGCCATGAGCTAATTTCGCTACAAGTGCGAGTTTGTCAAAGAAAATGGCTGTCTAACTTCCAAGGCAAGGAATGTCTCGGAAGAACCTCAAAAGACAAAGCGCTCAGCTCTTCCTTTGCCTACATCCTTTTAATATCCTAGAAGGTAGTTAACCATTGCTCGCATCATTTTTGGTGTTCGAGGATGTCCTGGACTGCGGCACCGCCTCCCCTGAATTGCAAGCATAAGACCGGGAAACAAAAAGCAAAGCCTGCGATTGTATTTTCTGCGCCGATTTGTTGTACTGCGGGGCAGGGGTTCTAGACGCCCGTGGTACAGCGAGCTGAATTATCATCAAAAGTACTCCGTACTTCTTCTGCGGGTAAGAATGAGAGACGCGCGTGCACAATGCCGTGCACCCATTTCAAATCTAAACTTGAGCGATGTGTTCTTTCGCAGGAATTCTGCGCATAGATCCTAACCTGAAGGGGGAAAGATATCTCTGCGCCAATCTTTTTGGCTATACCAATGGCAGCCTATTCCCTAGAACCGACCATTCTGGTACACCTTTCTTTTGGGGCGCGTAGGCCATATGGGACTTCCATGGGATTAATCGATCTTCAGATCGTATTGCTGTGGTGCCAAGTTTCCAAGAGAATAGTTTGAATGGAACCCCTGAAAACGAGTGGGCGCATGATGCCTGTCCTTCTACCAAGATTCTTGTCAAGCTTGATCAAGAGGGCTTGCCGTGTTGATGAACAACGAAACGGAACAGATATGTAGGGCTGGGCTGTTGTGACACTGTCCAGTCCTCCCTTCGCGATCCCATACGCCGATATCTTCATGCTCTATGTCTGCATGACAGCCACGGCTCTTGTAGGCCGGCTTCCTGTCTGAAGACCGAGATATCTGTGATCTATCACCGAGTCATTAAGCCAAAGAGTCTGAGTCTTCCACACACCCATTCCTTGCAGAATGCGCCCTGGGCTATTCTTGTCCGCCCCTCAAGTCACACCACGGCGAAAACCTAGCCGTTCAACCAGCATTTGGTCCACTCGGTAAATGGAAGTAGGGCAAGGTCACAAGGGATGAGAAACAAAGTCAAGAGAGCTTGCCTTATTATCTGCACACAGCCTTTCTATCTAGATGAATGACCACCACCATCACCGCCGCCCCCAACCAAAGCCGCGAAGAATGATATGGATCTACACCAACCGGGTGTAAGAGAGGGGGTAGTTGGGCATCCAGTTCGGATGAGACCAAAGTATATGGATCATAGCCCGTCTTCATCCGATCCAGGCTGCTGCGCTGCAAAAGAGGACGCCTTGCTAGCCATCAATGATCGAAAGCCAACACATTCCGCGCACTCCCCATGTCCTACGTCTGTCTGAACCCTGCAGGAAGGACGGAATGGAACGAGCGGACATTGTCGGCCAGAAAATTGAAAGCAAAAAGAAAAAAAGACCAGGAAAATAAAAGCAAAACTAAATATAAACCCACACTCCCAAGAACCCCACAGGACCCGGGGAAATCCTCTCTTGTTCATTTGTTTGTTTTGCTTTTCCTGCGTCGCCCCATTTTGGGTAGATACATATAATATGTATGCTCCATATTTTTTTTTATATAACCTTGGAAAACCGCCAACCCGGCTGCGCATGATTCCACTTTTCCCTTCCTCCCCCTTGTTTGCTTGGTTGCGCTAGTTATACATCGGTATGGAAAGGGCGGATAAGACGGAGTTTCCCAGGATTCCGGATTCGAACATGTGTACGAGAGCGGCTGCCTTCGTCTCTGGGAGGGTAAGGTGGACTGCGTTGAAAGGACAGGGGGAATACAAGGAAGATAGGGAAAAAAAATTTTTTCCCGTAATGATGCCTCCTATTGTTGCTGGTTTACAAGCAAAGTAAACCGGCTCAAGAGTGTACATGGCCTGGACACAGATTTTTGGTCCTAGGGAGTAGACTATGGGGGTGCAATAGCGTTCAGTCCGCCTTGGGAATAGTATTGATCTTCAAATGTTTAATTTGATATTAGGGGTATATATATGTATCTCGTTTGTTGTAGGCTTTTTCTTTTTTTTTTAAAAAAAAATCATTATCATCATGACTATTCCTGAGGGGGTTGATACGGATGCACGAGCATATCACTAAATCTGCAGTTGTTTTCGAATTAGCACACTACATGTCTTTCCAATATGAGAGAAAGGGAGGCTCTTTTTTCGCCCTTACCTTTCAAGTTTCTCCTTCCCACGCACCTCCTCGACCAGAAGCGGCATCCGAACAACATTGAAGTCCTCATACAACTCCGCAATCTCATCGAGATACTTCTTCTGCATCTTCCGCCTCGCCTTGCACTGCTCGCATGTGCTATCTTTCCCGGGGAACAGGAGCTGATTGACAACGATAGCATGGGTATCGATCTGATAGCTCGTCAACTCCTGAATCATCCGCTCCGTCTCGTACAGCGACAAGAACTCCGCGATGCACACGCACACGAACGTCGTGAGGTCCGCGTCCTTGAACTGAGCGTTGACCTCGCTGATGGTTTCGCGCAGGGACTCCATCTTGGACAGGACCTCGTCGAGGTTCTGGCCGCCGGGGAGACCGCCTCGCGCGCCGAGGACGGAGTTGAGCATGGGTCCGAATTGGTTTGATAGCTGGGAGAGCTTGGCGAGGCCCTTCTCGAGGACGGTGGGGAATTGGAGGAAGCGCAGGGTGTGGCCGGTCGGGGCGGTGTCGAATACGATGACTTCGTAGGATAGGGACTTGACCTGCTTTAAGACCTCGGCGAAGGACATGGCTTCATCGACACCGGGAATCTAGAGACCCAGGCAAAAATTACACATATCGGTTAGCAAAGCAAAGCAAAGCGAAACAAAACAAAATGTCCCATCTTGTCCCGCCAGGAGGGAGAGATATCCCGCGGGGAAGGGAAGGGAAGGGATGGGAAATCGGGAGCCACCAACACTGAACGCCAAATCCTGCATCATCCCCCCAAGTCCAAATCCCATATCCTCACCCTGCTCCCCGCCAGCAGCCAGCAGATCCTGCATGCTCGCACTGGGGTCGATCTCCATGGCGCTCAGATTATCGAATCCATCGACCAGCCTCGCCTCCTTGCCGAATTTCTGTCCAAAGGCATCGCTCAGGTTGTGTGCTGGGTCAGTGGAGATCAACAACACGGATTTTCTGACCTTGGCGAGCTGGATGGCGAGAGAGCAGGAGGTGGTGGTCTTGCCGACGCCGCCTTTGCCGCCGACGAAGATCCAGCGGAGGCTCTTCTGGTCGAGGATGCTTTGAAGAGTGGGCTCGAGAATGTCATCTGCGGGGACTAGGGCGGCGGAAGACATGGTGGGGGGATTCGGGAGGAGATTTGAAAAAAAGGGCAAAGTGGATATTAATGTGCTGCGGGAAAGTCGAGAAGCCCGTATAGAAGGTAAAACTATGCTCAGGGTCTGGAGGCGGTTTTTTGTCCCGCTCAGATGTCGGAGATATTCCCTGTCTGGTTCTTAAACAAAAAAGGGGGGCAGTGTTAGTCTTTTGCCTGTCCTCCTTTTTCTTTCTTGCGCGACGAGAGCGTCAGCGGCGGTTTCCAAGGCTGAGTTCTAGAAGCTTCTTGGCACTTTGCGGGATGTCATAGGACGGTAGAGGCAATTCAAGCTTACAGTGACGGTGGGAGTGGTTTCCCAGGGAGGCTTGGAGGTGCTGATCTGGGGATTGGGCGTGCAAGTCGCAGGTGTTGGAGGTTGTGCTGGCTGGAAGCTTTTTCTCAAGCAACTCCCGCGATAAGGTCGAGTTGTCGTTCAAGGTTCACATCCATTGGCAGAAACGGCCGGATGTCGGGGAAACTAATAGTCCGCGTTGATATCAACGAATGGTCGGCAGCCCGAGCCGTCGAGAGACTATACGACAAGACAGTTACAAGAAAAGAAAAGAAAAGGAAAAAGGAATAAAACCAAGGGAAAAAAAAGAATAAAAAGAGGAAAAAAAGAATAAAAAGGCATTCTGCAAATAAGTTACATGACTACTGCCAGCAAGCCACATCGAACACCCATCTTGAAATTCCTACACAACCCCACACCGGCATCGCCAAAGATGGAACGTCGCCACCCCATAACCTGCCATGTCCTCAACACCCACAGCGGGACGCCGGCAGCGGGGCTATCCTGCTCACTCAACCTGATCAGCGTCGACAGCCCGGCCCGCCAGGCCAGCTCGCTGCTGGTCTCGGAGCACGGCCCGCTGAGCTTCCACGGCGTGACGGATTCCGACGGACGCGTCACGGCGTGGCAGCCCGCGCACCCTTCCTCGCTGTCGTTGCCGGACGTCATCGCTTCGTTTCCCGGTCGAGCAGCAACAGGAGGAGGAGGAGGAGGAGGAGGAGGAGGCGCGGGGGCCTCCGCTGCACGGTCTGTCTGGAGCATCCGGCTGATGAACGTGGCCGGGTGGTACAAGGAGCGCGGGGTGGATTCGTTCTGGCCGGAGGTGGAGGTGAGGTTCGTGGTGGAGGGGAAGGAGGGAGAGGAAGGCTGGAGGCACTGTCATGTTCCGGTGCTGCTTGGGCCGTGGAGCTACTCGACATATCGCGGATCTTAAAAAAAAAAAAAAAAAAAAAAAAAAAAAGGAGGAAGGAAAGAAATAAACAAAGAAAGAAAGAAAGAAAGAAAGAAAGAAAGAAAGAAAGAAAGACAGAAAGAAAAGAGACAACAATAATCCACAAATGTTGGCATCGATGGCCCCGTCCCCTGCGAAGGGGGATACACTTCCAAGTCTACATATGCCTTTCTGCCCGCGAACACACTCGAAGATGGAACGTCTCGCGTCGAGCACTGAAGCTAGCTGAGCTCTGACATTTTTCTATACGCCAGTCCGGGACTTTTCGATATTTTACAGCACCTACATATATACACCCTAATCCAGCGTTATTAAAATTAATTTGACTGTCCAACCTCGTTTCTGTGGGGGTTAAGATGGGACAATCGACACAGCACCTAATTTTGCATGCGTATTCTATTCCATGTACGTACATACACGCATTGCCACTGGCATAATATGGGGGATATTCCTATGTATATATATATATATATATATATATATTCCAGTACTCCGTAGTGCAGTTCGCAATACTCCGAAGAGAAGGGAAAAAAAAGAGAGAGAGAGAGACAAGCAAGCAAAGTCGTTGCTCTTTCCCTTGTTGGTAGAATTCAACACGTCATCGCCCAGGGTCGCAGCACCAACCAGCCAATCAGGGGCTGTGATCCCCCCCAATGAAGGCTTAGTCAGACCCGCTAAGTTTGCCGGAGGATTTGAGATCCAGCCAATCACAGCCGCCAATTCAAACCCTAAACGGCGCTCCAGGCACTCTGATTGGCTGGCACCCCTCTGCTCCCCCCCGGAGTCTGTTGGCCGGAGAGGGGGGGGGGGGTTTTTTGGAAAGGGTACCTGTTCGGTACCACGCAGGCGGGCGTAGACTGGGCGGGAGAAGCGAGTACCGTCCAAGTACCACTTCCCTCCCACTCCCCTTCCAAACCGGATTGCTTGGATTACCAGGGAAAAGTGGCCAGAAGTTGTTTTTGAGTGGCTGCGGGAAGTCTCGGTGGTGAAAGACCCGTAAATCTGAGGCATCGCCAGAAAAGTTCCTGGTCTCCTCGTTCTTTTTAAGTCTTCATGGTCTTCGATCCCTGCCCCCCATCCACGCCTACGTCACTCTTCACACTCTCTCTCTGCTCTCACTCTCCCACTCACTCACTCACTCACTCACTCACTCACTCTCTCCTCTCCTCGCGACCCGTCTCAGTGTCCAATTCCAGTGCTCTGCTGTTGTTCTCGTCTCTCGTCGTCCAGCTCTGACGGCTCCAGCTGAAGGGAGCCGACACCGTTCCACCGATTTTCTCTGCTCTGTTTCCATGCTTTGGGCAGGCCACCAGGTGGTGAGTGATGCGATAGCTTTTTCCTTCCGTCCACGTCTCTGTTTCTAGCACAATCAATCGAGTAGTTACACTCCTCTTTCTTCTCTCTCTCTCTCTCTTTCTCTCTCTTTTCTTTTTTTTTTTTTTTTTTTTTTTTTTTTTTGGATTCTTTTTGCGCTGGTTCACAGCCCTGGTCATCAACCTGTCGTGCGTGTCTCGTGTCGCGCGTCTGGCAAAAGAGACTCAGAATCCCTTTATCCCCATCGCCTGTCGCAGAGGAGCCCCCAGCCCATCGATCGCCGCCTGCTCAACCACGCACTCTCCCATCTTGAGTCCTCTCCGGTACAATCTCTCTGATAATTTCCTCTTGAACACTGATTGTAACATCCTTTGTTTTTCCCAACATTTTCCCGACCACCTTTTTGTATGGCCGCCAAGGCGCTAGTGCTTACTTAATGCACACAACGACATCACTATGTCGTCAGATCTTCTTTTTTTTTTTTCCCTCGAGATTTTCTCCTTCCGTCATCCTACATCATCGTCCTCGCCCATCCATCCCATCGCCCGTCCATCTGCTTTCCATCAACCATCGTGCTTGTTCCCTCGCCCACAAACCATATCTCTCCTCCAGCCAACTCTCTCCGCTGACCTCATTGCCCCTTATCGCTTTTTCGCCGCTCAGACAGCCTAAACGCTATCGCGAAACGCCCGCCTCTTAGCACCCCCCGTCTAAACTCGCTGGGTCGTTGCGCGCCCTGTCGTCATCTTCCGCCGTCCTCTTCCCACCCCCCCCCTGGCTTGCCTCTTTTTTTTTTTTTTTTTTAATTCCCCTTTTTTTTTGTTTTTATTTTTCCTTTGTTTGAATCTTAATTACCCTCTCCCCATATCATGTCCGCCGCCCTCGCCAAGAGAGGCTCGCCTCGAATAGGCCGCCCGGCTTCCCGCCCGGATTCCTCCCTCGACGCAAACAATCCGCTGTTGAAGAATAGTAGTAAGCTCTCCTCCTCACCTGCATGTTCCTATCCTTCACTGGCAATTGGCTTTTTCTTTTTTTCTTTTTTCTTTTTTTTCTTTTTTTTTTTTCCTGGTTTTTTTATTATTATCATTTCTTATTTTTGCTTATTCACCCTTTTTGTTCTTAAATTATTCTTATCGTAGTTTTGTTTTCTCTTGCTTCGTCCAATCATAACGTTGTTTTCGTCTCATTGATGCCAATGCCTCCCCAGATGTCCAGGACGTCGACAGAAAGGATCCCAAACCCGCCGCCGATGCTGCTGAGTCACAACAGCCCATGCCTGGCCCTCGCCGTCCAGGTCAATCTGAATCGGAGACTGATTACTTCTCCACCCTGCACAACACCAGTCACTTCTCCTTGGAACCGAATCCATTCGACCAGTCATTTGGAAACACCTCCGCCGAAACTCCAGGAAAATCCCTTCTACCGCCTGTTGCCGCCCTCACCTCCCCTTCCTTACCTGGAACCACCACTGCTGGAGGTTTTGGCTGGGCCAACTCCCTCAGAGCCGGACCTCTAAGCCCGGCCATGCTCACTGGGCCTTCGGGCTCCAATGATTTCCTTGATAGCATCGGCAGGGGTTTTCCCACCCCCAATGAGTCCTCTCTCCGCACTGGACTCACCCCCGGTGGTGGAGGCACCATGTTCCCGGCCCCTAGTCCCGGTGGCACGTCCATGCTGCAGCTCCAGAGTGGTGGTGCTACACCTTCGACGCTGGAGTTCCACCGCACCGCCCTCAACGCTGCGAGGAAGAATGGTGCCGGTGCGCCCACTTCAAACCCTCAGGACCCTGAGCTTCTTCAGCAGGCAGCGAATATGGAGATCCCCAAGACTGGCCCACCGATAGATCCGTTCACCCACCCTGACGCCACGGACGCTGCCAATGGTCTCTATATGCTCGCCAAGGGAGGGCAGGCTGACAATGTGCCATATCCTCATCCCGGCTCTCAGCCAGGCTCCGAAGCTCGAGGCGCATACTCCAGAAATAATACGCCCCTCAATGGTGGCATTGGAATTGCACGAAACGGTGATGTCACCGACCCGCAACTCAACGGAGATGCTTCAGACGGAGCAATGGAGCAATCAAAGGCAAATGGCCGTAACAAAGGAAAGAAGCCTGCCGCCAAGGCGTCGACTGCTGCCAACGGACGCCGCAAGGCCGAAGACACGAAGCAAGGACCGAATAAGAAGGCCAAGGGCGCCAACGGAGCCATCGATAAAACTCAGGAGGAAGACGTCAAACCCTCCCAGGGTGAAGGCAGCACTTCCAACCCTAAGAAGATGACAGATGATGAGAAGCGCAAGAATTTCCTAGAGCGTAATCGGTGTGTTTTTACTTTCCATAGTCCTACCCAACCTTACGTATATCCTCTGGCTAGATTCATTTTTAATACTGACAGGGTGTTTCTTTTTTCTGTCTCGCAGAGTTGCCGCGCTAAAATGCCGTCAAAGAAAGAAGCAATGGCTTGCGAATTTGCAAGCAAAAGTTGAAATGTATAGCCAAGAGAACGACACTCTTTCCACAACTGTCACTAGGTTACGCGAAGAGATTGTCACCCTCAAATCCCTGCTCTTGGCTCATAAAGATTGCCCTGTTACACAAGCCCAAGGACTCAATGCCAGTATCATGATGAACGGACTTGCTAATTCTGGAGGATGGGCGTTATAGGTATGGGAGCCTGGGGTTACTTTTCATTTTTGCGGGACCGGTGTCTGGTCTTTACGGGCTTCTTCTTTTGCATTTCCTCCTTCACCTTTGATGGTTGTGTCTCTTTTTTTTTTTTTTTTTTTATCGCGGTAGTTACTGGGGTTATGTGAAAAATTGTTATGACGCGTTTTCTCTTTTTTCTCTTTTTTTTTTTCTCCCCTTTTTCCTTTCTACTTTATTGGGGAGGGCTCTCTGCTGGATAACGGGACTTTGCTTGCCTTTTTCTTTTCTTTTTCCTTTTTGTGAAAATATTATTTATTCCTTAAAATTCTCAGTGATTGCTATGCGATAGCATTCACTTCTTCCTGTATTATTGATTGTATGTACTTGGGATCTAAAATAATCCAATAATTTTGATTTTGTTTCAATATTCTCCTCCTGGAAATGAATCTGAGTGGGCTGAGAGAGAGGGGGAGACCCAAAAAAAAAAAAGTGAAGCACTTTGAATTTTGAATATATGTAGACATGATAGCTTCTTTTATACACACACAAAGAGTAATAACTTCGCAGGACAAAAAGAAAGGAGAACTCCCCGACACCTTGCTCTTCCAACAGTGCAAAGCAGTACAAAAAAAGAGAAAATATATATATAGAAAACAAAAAACACAAAAGGACTTCCCATATCCATTTCCCATGGTATCTATTAGATGTTTTTATGCTTCCCTCCTGCCAAAAAAAGAAATCAGAGAAAAAAAAAAAAGAAAAGGAAAAAAAGGAGTCCCCCTTTTTAAAGCAATCAGGAAAAATGAAGAACAAAAAAAAAAAAGGAAAAAGGAAAAAGGAAAAAGGGAACATAGATTACACCGAATACACCAAGTCCTCACCCGGTGCCCGGCCCGGTTCCAACTCACCCGCCACCACAGCATCCCAATCGATCGGCTCCCACGGCTCATTCATATACAAGCTCCCCTCCAGATCGTCCGGCAGATTCACCCACTCCGGCAGCGCCCAGCTATCGTCCATGTCCATCACCATATCAAGATCCTCGTCCTTGGAGACATCGCTGTCCTGGGGGGTCTGCGTGACGGCGCTGGCGTCCGTGGACTGCGGGGTGTCCTTCGAGCGCATGGCGGTGAACGCATCGGAGAGGAGCAGTTCGTCGACGCGGTCCCAGCCGACGTCGAAGAAGGATTGCTCCGCCAGCTCGCCGAAGGTGGAGCGGATGGCCTCGAGGGACGTGGGGGAATCCTCCCAGGGGTCCTTGGCGGCGGGCGGAGAGAGCCCTGTCTCTGCGGTGTTGCCGGGAGGTTTCTTGGCGTCTTTGCTGGGGACGCGTTTAAGTTCTGCTGAGGTTGCCTGGTGCTCCTTTGCACTGCTCATCTGGGATGGTTTGCGTTGTAGGGATGAAGGGGAGATTGATTTGGCGCCAGCGAGGCTGGAGGTTTGAGCCATAGGTTGCGAGGACGAAGGGGTGATGCTCATGCCCGGCTTTGAGGGTTGTTGTGCCTTGCCCCCTAGAGTTGCAGAGTCCCTAGGTCTTTGCTCGTTTGCATCCAACGGCTTCTCATCGGCTTTATCGAGACCGAGACCCTTCCTGTAACTCTCGATCGCGAAATCAAGAGCATTAGTAATTGGCTCCTCTGGCTTGTGCTCCTCGTTGACATGATTGTCCAGCGCAGCCTGAGACGGGAATCCCTTGATATGGTATTTGCATTCCACGATCGAACATTTGAACGTGTCCTTGGGAACTGACACTGGTCTCTTCGCCTCTGGAGCAGCCGGTGTCTCTGCCTTCACAGCCGGCGATCGTTGTTCGGCAGATTTTGCCGGCGCCTTTGCCGCAGCCTGGTTTGGTTTCCGTCTCTTGGGTGGAGGAAGGGTAAGGCTTTCCTGAGTGACACTTGTCGGCCCGTAGACACGCGGGACACCCTGGGGAGATGTCGCTCCGAGAGGAAACGGTGGCTGCACCGTGGTTGGGGCAGGGGGAATCGTTTGGGCAGCTTTCCTGGCACGTTGAAGCGCAGCTTCTTGCTGCTCCAGCTGCTGCAGGTTGCTCGCATTAAGAGGTGTGGGTCCCTTTGGAGAAGCCTGTTGTGTAATCCCAGGCTGTACAGCAGCGGTCCTTGAAGATGTCTGGCTTAGTCGGGAACTCTGAACACGACTAATCATCTCAGCGAACCATTTCTTAATATGAGCGATGGCGTTGGCCAGATAATCCGACGCGATCGTAAAATGATCGGCCAGAGTCCAATCGGGGCCCTTGAATTGCTTCATGAGCAACATCCTCTGCGTTTCGAGTTAGTATCACCGGGCGAGACAGGTACTACGGGGAGTGGAGTGGTGGGGTTTTCGACCTACCATTTGCAGCAATGTCCGAACGTTTTTCTCTTGGCCTGGGAATTTCGATATCCACTGAACCAAAGTGTCCATACGGCTGAGCATGTACGTGTTTTCTCGGAGCTGCTGTGTAACTGCAGCTTTTTGGGCAGACGTCATCGCAACCGGCACGACAGCGTTATCATTTCGGACGAGTTCTGCATACATCTGCTTTAGCGGCTCGGGAAGGCGGGCCCATGCTTCATCCGCTGCATCTTTAGAAATACGAGGTTGGGCTTGCTGCCGTCGGAGGTGCGCTTCCCACTGCGGTCGCTGCTGTTGGCTCATAGCGGCCATCGACTCACGTGTAGACTGGGCCGGGCTGGCCTGTGGTGGCTGGCCACCACCACCACCACCACCCAGCGGGACCGTAGGAACCTGAGGCTGATGTGGAACGGGTGCCTTATTTTTTGTGTCAGGAACACTCGGCCTTTTCAGGGATTTGGGAGATGGTTTCACAGCAGCTGCACGCGCCGTGTTGGCTACATTTTGAGGTCCTGATTTACTGTCCATCGAGGGCATCCCGGGTGCCGAAGTCGGCTGTGACACCTGCGGCTGGGCTTGAGTTGTTGGAATATGCTGTGGAGGCTGAGTCGGAACTGGAATCTGCCCAGGAGTAGGAACTTGGTTCATGGACTGAGCTGCCAAAGCCTGTGCAGCTTCCCGATTCCGTGCAGCTTGTGTCATGTATTGCTTGTGCCTGCTTTTCTCTAGAAGCACCCGGAGTGCATCATCGCTGAGTTTTTCAACATGGGCCCCAAGCTTTTGGCGCGCCATGTGAATATCGTTGGCGGTGATAGGTCGCATAACCGGCATGCCATGAGGCACTTGGGGTTGGCCGGGAAGCTGTTGATGCATATGCTGAGGGCCGAAGTGAGGCTGCCTCAAACCGCTTTGGTCCATGCCGACTGGTGGAGCAGCGGTTGGTTGTCCCATGGCACGGTTGGCAGCCTCTCTCCGGGCGCTAAGCATCTGGCCGAAATGGAGCTTTTGAAGCATTGCGAGCCTATCCACGCTGATCTCGCCGAGCGCTTGAGGATTTTTACTCGCCCACATTTTCAGCTGGCCCCAAGTTTTCAGATTTTTCGGCAACGCTTGTGCTACGGCTGGATTAGAGTTAAATATGGCAAAAGGAAAAGGGACTTTATCCATTTCTCGAAGCTGGTCCTCGTTCATGGTGAAGGTACTACTGCGTTGCTGAAGGTACTCAAGACGAGGATCCGGTGGTTGCGGGTAACCTAGAAACGGCTGATTCGGCTTTTGCATGGGGAACTGCTGGCCTTGCAATCCGGGCTGCGGCTGCATCCCGCCCATGTTCATGAGGGGATAATGCATTCCCATGGATGCTCGCATATTGGGGTCATTTACCATGTTCGATGACGGTACCTGGGCCATCTGCGCGGAATCCGGAATTGGGGGTTGAACAGGAACACCGTGATTCTGTCGAAGCATCGCCGGATTGTTTGCCATCGCGCGACGATAGTTTTGAAGCACTCCGTTCACTTGTTCGGGCGGTAGTTGAGCCAAGTGGTTTTGCACGTTCTGCGGAAGCCCAGGAGGAATCGGTGGGCGCGGAGTTTGCATGGGATTCTGGTTGTTCTGGCCCATACCTCCCGGTCGTGCGTACGGTCGACCTTGTGGGCCCATTCCTCCCTGAGGAACTTGAACGGGCGCTCCTGGTCGGTTCATCATCGAGACGGCTGGGTTTTGCTGCGGCATCGACTGTGGAATCTGAGGATTTGCCTGGGATGATATTGCTCTCTGTGCTTTCGCTGCAGCCTGCGCACGGGCTTGGGCGTCGGACTGAGCTTGGAAATGAGCTGCATGTTGGAGCTTGTCTTGTTGAGCGTTTTGTAAATTCTGGCGGTGCTGCTGAGCCATCATGGCCGCATTCATGTTGGTTCTGTTAACATTCGGGTGAGGGCCCTGAAATGCTCCCTGTTGGGAGCCGAATGGCGGATGGCTCATCATCTGTGGATTATGCGCAGACATGGCCGGCTGTCCAGTCTCTTGCGAGCGAAGGGCGTCCACTTGTTGAGGCTGAACATGGTCCACGTTTCCAGAGAACGACGGATCTAGGCCGGCCATCGGCATAGCGGGGCTACCTTGGAACGACATGCTAGGCTGGCTCAGCTGCCTTTGATGCGTAGTCATCATACGCTCACCACCTGCAGTGTTTGCGGCATCGAGGTTCATGGTTTGAGGGTTAGCCATACCCATGGCCTGCCTATGTTTTCTCAAGGTTTTCAGAGCCTGGCAGCGAAAAAAGTACTGCATCGGCGTGAGACCTTTGCGGTTCAAGAACTGTCGCTGGTCTGCAGTCATGTTTTGCAGGTTCATTTTGATCTTCTCCATGTCGGCGGGTGATGTCTTCTGGGCCAGCTGGTCGGCAAAATGGCAAACATATTGAGATTCCTTTTGGCTTAGCGAGGAGATATCGTCGCGTAATTGCATGGAGACAGGGCGGGCTTGTGGATTCTGAAGGAAGGCTTGTTGGGGCAACGGTTGCTGGTTCGGCGGTGCACTAAGTGCCTGCTGTTGTTGCATTGGCATGGGGGTACCCTGGGTGGGACGCGGCATTGCGTTTGGAAACATGTGTTGCATCTGATTCTGGGTCGCTTGAGTGTTGATGGGCAAGCCGACTT